CCTTTAAACACATGCAACATTAGTTAGATTAACACCTAATTTGTGACTACAAGATATTTACAATGAAATATAATGGAAATAAGATATACTTTGAAAGTCACTCTTACTGTTTTCGTAAAGTTTAAATCATTCAAATACAAATTAAATCAGTACTTGAAAATAACAACTTATTGATGGATATTTGTAAATCTGTTGTATATAAAAATTGTAGGGTTGGGTACCGCCAGGAAAATAATACCACTGTATATCATGTTTTTTTCTCCTAAAACCACAGTATAAACCGCGGTTTACCACAGATTTTCATTGTACGCTATACGTTCATTTTTTATCTCTAAGATACGTTTCAATGTAGGCTGGTACAGAATTTCAAATATGAAATTTAAGCAGATCTAAAAAAAATACAGATAAATAAAGGCATTTTATATTTAACAGTTTCAATTAGGTCTTTTCGACAAGGCGTTGATTTCAAACCACTTGCCGCTCACCGCTGTGGGTTCAAATCCCGACAGGGACTTTGGATTCTTTGAAGTGAGGAAACTTTCCAGCTAGCTTACGGAACGTTGTTGGTTCTACTCAGGTGCCCGTTCGTGCCTGAAATAATGCACGGAAGGGCACCTGAGGTCTTCCTCCACCAGTAAAGCTGGAATGCCGCAAAATGACCTATACAGTGTCGGTGTGACGAAAAACCCAATAAAAAACCAACAAACACACTTTCGACAAAGTTCAAAAGATCCGACATACCTTTTTTTGTCTACCAAAACATACAAATTGTTGCGCATGACGACAATCATAGATTAATTGGACCATGAATCAGTTCGTTTTTAATTTCAGATAATTTTCTCTCAAAATTTAACAACTATAAATAAATTGCAAAATATCTTTTTTATAGGAACGATTGTATCTACCATTGAATTTCATAGCAAGTACTGACTTCCAAGGAAACCATTTATTTTGTAAAGCAACAAGTGATTTCTTATGCAACTGTTGTTGTCCACTAGCAATATAAAACATTAAAGGTTTTACACGTGCATTAGTTCAGATACAAATATGTATTTTGTGATATCAGTTTACGATTATGATTATATATCTGCTTTCGTTTAAAGTTAAAACTATTACTTATCTTTGTCATGGAGAGTATTTATAATCAGATGAGCGATATTAGTGCCATCATCGCCCTGTTCTTCAATATTTGGCATATATATTTAAGCAGATAATGGTTGTACAGTTATTTCTTTCAATTTTTTGGTGTGCAATGTTTGTTCAATGATCTTCCTCATGATCTTCACTCATTGTCTTTCACAGTCTGGTATACATTATACTGACATCTAGCATATGGGATTTTTCAGTAACAGTATACGCTGTTTAACCATAACATTGAGTAATTTAAAAATAAATATCAATATATGAGCATGGATATAATCGGTCTGTATTCGGTTTTCAAAGAGATGACGCATCTACGTTTATCAAATCGGTCTATTATACTGGCCGGCAGATTTAACAATATGGGCCTACTATCTGTACACTTGCTGGTCAGATGTTCATCGGCAGCAACTTGATTTGCTGACTTTCTATAACATCTCATTGTTTGTTGGTGTTTGTAGGATGCGACGACAACTTCATTCAATTCATTTTTTCTAACTAAACAACCACTTTCAAAGTATGTCACGACTGGTCAACCAAGCATCCCAAGCAAACTTCCTTTTTTGAAAAAAAATTGGTTTCTTAGATTGACAGCAGCCGTATTTAACAATGTAAAGGTCACGATTTATCTAATGAAAAGTGACGTTACAAACGTAAAGTATTATGAAAAAAAATCTGATAATACGAAATAAGAAACAAGATGTTGTTCCAATTAAAATGTTGTCATATTATTTTTAACTCATACAAGAATATAGTCATACAGCAAAAACCCTCAATTAAGACCACCGGACTTTACCAAAGTGGTCTTAATTGCGGGGTAGTCTTAAATTTGGAAATTATTATCATTGCTTACATTATTATAAAACTTTATGACCATGGTGTATTTTAGTTATTTTGTATGAACAAACAATATGTATCTTAACCTACAAATACAATATAAAAGTATATTATAATATTTTATCTGAGCAAAACATATTTCTGAAGAAATTTAATATTAAATTTTCTTTGGTCTAATTTCAATATTAATAATAATATGATGATACATATCTCATCAATCATATAAGAAATTAATTCTTCACAAAATAAATATACTGAAAGCAACATAAAACCACAGTGACTCTAAAATTCACTTTCACACTTAATTTCATGCAATAACCCAATAATAACAGTTTAGTTATTGACACCTTGTGAAATCAAGTATCATGGCTAAGACACACAGACAATATTATTTTACGCTCAGTTTACCAGCTATCATTAAATGATTGTAATAAAGGATTATGTAACTGGGTAGCCTATGTTAAAAAGCTTTTGTGTGACTATGGTTTTGCAGATGTTTGGAATAACCCACATGATATTGTATTTAAAAACTTTATCCCGATATTTAGACAACGAATAATTGATTGTTTTATACAGGGGTGGCATGTATCTAAAGAAACAAGTTCTGTATTGGAATTATATAATGTGTGTAAAATTAGTTTTTGTTACGAAAATTATTTAGATATATTGCCTGATCATTTGAGACGACTTATTACTAGATTAAGAACTTCTGCACACAGCTTAAGAATACAAACTGGTAGATATGCCAGAAATAGAATACAAAGAAATGAACGGTATTGTCAATGTTGTTCTTTAAGAGACTTAGAAGATGAATTTCATTTTGTTCTTATATGTCCATGTTATACAAGTATTCGTACCCTTTATATTAAAAGATATTATTTTGTTAACCCAAGTATGTACAAATTTATTGCATTGCTGCAAAGTATTAATAGAAATGAGCTATGTAAATTAGCACTATATTACAAAAATGCTATGACTATTAGAACTACAGTGTTAAATAATGTTCAATGATAGATAAAAATTTAGTTTATTAAAAATAAAGTTTAATGATAGATTAAAAATTAGTTTTGATATTGATTTTTCTTCTTAAATATGTTCATCCTCACTTAACTGAGGCTTAATAACAAATATCTGAACAATGACAATTGTTACAATTACAATTATTAATCTCTTTATATTATTTATTGTATTAATTTCTTTATATTGATTGCACTGAAAATTACATGTTACTCAAATATTATTATGTTATGTATATGATGATGTACTATGTACAAATCAGAAATAAAAGATCTGTTCTGTTCTGTTCTGCTAAGAGCATTCAAGCAGACGATAGCAACAAATTTGTGATCTAGTTAGGTGTTGACTTTAACATTAGTGGTCTCAATAGTGGGTTCAAATTCAGCGTAATACAAAGAATTAGGATTGAATCTGATGGTCTTAAAAGTGGATAAGCGGAATTGTCTTAATTCTGGATGATGTAACCATTGACAAAAAGAACAGAAAATTCCGTTCTTTCAAAAGATGGTCTTTATAGCGGGATGGTATTAACTGCGGGGTGGTCTTTTTTAAAACTAGCCTGCTCATGGATAAAGTTCGAGTCTGGAAGGGAATATCCGCCAACAAACAAAAAATAAGTATATTTGCGTACAAACTGTCAAAATAGAAAAATAAATAGCATGTTAGAATATCAAACAACACAAAAGACGAACTGGCGGATATTAACTTTCATACTCTGGTTCCAGGTTCGAACTTTATCCATGGTCAGGCTAGTGAGAAATTAAATGTAACGGAATTCGACAACTACAGTTCTTGGTGATTTTTAGTGTGTGAACGAGATTGATTGATATTGCCTCATTGTGTATCTTTTTCTGTACGAAATCTGCTGTGGTCATAGTATTATTTTTACAATAGGTTTATCTCTTAGATTTGGTTTGCTACTGTATTGCTAATCATGGTCATGCAACTACATAGTTAGGTGAAGAAGCAGGCGCTTGTTTTGGTTGAGTCTATTATGTTTTGTTTAGGGGGTGAGTTGTCATACACAAATTTACAATTTATATGCATTTATTTTTTTCCAATGATTGTTATTATCTTAAATGCTTCTGGGATTATTGTTTTATCAATCCATTTGTAAATAAGATTGTTATATGTCTATTAACGGAATAATTTTAATGAACACGAAATTAGTTCACACCTTTATGTGTATTGATAACGTGATGGTTTAAGCCAATGACATCAATATTATTACAATCAGGCAGAGAAAAAGTGTGCAAAGAGTAAATCGATAATCTTTATGTAGCAAACAAACTTCGAATTGCAAGTATTTTTTCATATCTTTTTGGCAGGATAAACTGTCCGAGGAGGGCCAGGCATTTGCGTATCGTAAAATGGCTGCCATTTACAGTATCAAGTGATTATCCCAAGCACCACCGCGACTTTGCGCTGGAATTTTAAATATAGCTAACCTCGGCGCGTCGCATAGGATGGAAAATACCTTTTTCATATTTTATTGTAATAAATATTTACAAACTGTGTCTTTCGTTTTTTTTTATCAATATATAACCAATAATGATGTTAATATGAATAAATAATAATATCTCAAATCTGTGACTATGATTTACAATGAAATTCTACCTTAAGTGTATTAAAAAGGTTTTTTTAATTTCCTGTAATTTTATTTTGTGATTATGCTTCAAAGCAGTCAATTGACCGTGAATTTTCTTTTCATATTTTGATTTTCTTGAAATCATTTTTCTCTTCTGAAGGCATGCAACTTTAATATGACGATACATTAATTACATTCCATGAAAATGTTTAAAGATATAAAATATCTCATGACATGTTTGTTCATTTTACATTACACTTTTAATTCAGCAAACATAAAGTCTTCACAAAAAGTAGTATGCAATCGTACCTATATTACATACGAATGTATGTAATATTTTTCTTGTTTAAATGAAGAGTAAGAGTAGAATATCTTCGAATGATTAATTGTTAAGAAAAACATTATAATCTATTTATAGGCTCAGACCTGAGATTTAGAGCAAAGATGTCGTGTGGTTTTTCAGAGATTGGGCTGAAGGAAAATATGGTAATTCATTTTTGTTAAATAAACTTTAAATACATCTTTATATTTTCATATATTCAAACATTACTCGTAATAAATTCCTGTTAGAATATATGTTTCGGAAAAACATCTTTTCAATAACATCTGGCCTTTATAAAATTAATGTATTAATAAAATACTGTGTTTTTATTATTGAGGTATAAATGAATATGAAAGTAAAACAGGTTACATAAAATGATGAAGGTGTTCGTCATTATGAATTGTATGAAATTAAAACTAATAAATGTCTAGCAATAAATTTGATAATTGTAAAATTTTCGTTTAATTGTAAGATAATTTAATAGTTTAAACACCATATACGTTTCTTTAATGTGTATGCAGGATGCAGTAGGCGAATCTATTACACATTTTGCAAGGTCATTCGACAGACACACTGTTGAAACAAGACAAATATTACAGAAATTATTTCAATTATTACAAGTGTCCATCTGTGATGGTAAGTAAACGTATTTTATTTTGAAGCACGTAAAAGGTGATAATAGAAACATTTTAAGTGGAAAAAAATTGGGGTAACCGCTCTCGTTTTTGTGTTACAGTGTATCTACCCCTGAATCAGAATTTTCCTCTTATTTGAGGTCATTTAAAGGGCAGATAACTAATACATACGTAATTGAATTCTTTTGATATTGCGCGATATGTTTAGAATATACATATTTTATATCGATTTGAATGACTAAGTAATTTCAGATCTTTTATCAAAGAAATTTATAATTGAAGTATTAAAATTTTTAAAATACTCCTTTATTAAAATTAAGAGGATTGTTAAAGACATATCTATAAAGTATATTATTATGTAGATGTTTAGAAAACGTTTGTGTCACTCATAATAAACAGGAAGTTTATATCCTATCAAATAACACATTTGACCTGATTTTTTTTCAGATGCAGACAGTAAAGAGATAATGAAGCTGACCCGTGATTATGTCACATCTGAAACGGTTATTTAGCTTACTTTCATATTTATTTAATTTAAAGAAAACATAAAACATTTATAGTTATGAAGTAATTTTAGGCGACACCATATTGATTTATTCTTCTTTGCACCTGTTTGATCATTTACCGACTGCAATTAAAATATTCTTGGCAGAAGAAGAAGATATTACCATTCGAAAAAAAATAATTTGTGGAGCCTAGCCAACTCTATAAAAATGCCTTAAGGACGTTTTCGGGAGTTTTCATATAGACATATCGGCAAAATTAAAACCGTTCTATAGAATTTCTTTAAACTTGGCATGTTGTTAGAATATGATAATAGAAACATTTTAAGCGGAAACAAAATTGGGGTAACCGCTCTCGTTTTTGTGTTATCTACCCCTGAATTAGAATTTTCTTCTTATTTGAGGTCATTTAAAGGGCAGATAACTAATACATACGTAAATGAATTCTTGTTTTTACTTCTGGATATTGTTTTCCTTTTTTATTGCTGAATACAATACATTATTAAATGCAATGTCTTATATTGTTTCTTTTAATTTTTGTCAATGAAAATAAAGATACTTTAAATTCATAAAAAAAATAGGCCAATTTTTAAGAAAAAATGCACAGGTTAAGAGAAGAAGTGTCACGCTAAATTTGTTCTTGAAATTTTGCATATTGACTAAGACGAAGGTAGGCTTCATAAAAATAAGAAGAAAAAATGTATTGTTTCGCTCCATTGTAAATTATCTGCCCTTGGAATTAACGAAAAAGTGCAATTCAAGGGCAGATAACTCGAAAATGAGAACGGTGACCCCAAATATTTTTCCGTTTAAAATGTTTCTGTTATCATATTCTAATAACATGCCAAGTTTAAAAAAATATGTTGAACAGTTTTAATCTAACCTATATGTCTATATGAAAACTCCGTAAAACGTCTTTAAGATAATTTAATCTGTGTTAAAAAGAACATTACATGGTGTATGTAGACTGTGCTTAGGTCAGCGCTGTTCGATATTTAGTCAGTGCAAATTTTCAAATTTTCTCATAAATGATGAATGATTTAGTCCTGATTGGAGCTATGTTATCTTTCATGAACTTCCGATTGAAATTGTTCTTTAAAGTGCCAAATTATAGTTAATATTTGTTATTGTTTCATATTTAAAGTTAATTTATCTCTCCATTAATGACTAAATAGCTTATTAATATTGGCGCTTTAAAACTTTTATCATTTGTTGTTAAGTTGATTTAAAGCCAAGAAACATGTTAAAGCTTATCATGAAACAAGTAATCAGGAGTTCTAACATATCGTCAAGGAGATTATTCAATATTTACAGAACAAATGTAGCTAAAGTTTAAGGAATTTGAATTCACGCATTTCGCCCATTATTTTCTATGAAATTGAATATTTAAATTCCATATATTAAGCGCAGAAACATTAAATAAACTTTTTAGTGGCTTAAATTAGTCGGCCGTATATTCCAGAACTGTGGACATTTTTGTATGGCTTTATTTGTTTAACTGGTTGTTTTTTACTTCGTTAATTAAAATGATTATGTCATGTCCACAGGATTTAGATACAGAAAAGAATGCCACATTGGCTCGCATTGACACACTTTTACAAACTTTACCGGATAAGAAGAAATATAAAGATGGTTCTTCATATTCAATCCCAGGAAGAAAAATACTAGAGGAGTATCTTAAAGAACCAAAACAGGAACTTCCTATCTTATCGGCAGTAGCAGATAACAAGGAGCGTCAAGAAAAAGGAAAAACTAAATTGATGGAAAATGCATTAGCGCCGTTAAATAAACCGACTGCAAAGGAAGAGGAGAGGATGGTCAAACGATGGTCAAAAGACAGTACCAAGGAGAAACTAAGCGACAATCATGGTAAACAAAGAGAATATAAACTTGAAAGTAAAAATGTTGAAATCAAGAAACTTCATTTTACAGTCGACCAGACGAAAAAAGAGACAGAATCGTTGAAATTTAGGGTTTCAGGCAATATGGTATTTGACAAAAAAGTCTTTGATAATATAAGAGCGGAAAATGAAAGATTGAAAAGAGAAAAAGAAGTGTACAAACTGAAAAAAGTGAACTAAATGAGAACTTACAAAATAGCATTAAAGAAAGAGACATCTGGCAACAAAGAACACTGGATGCAAGAAGCAAAACTGTACAAATAATGGAAGAGAAAGTTGCAATAGAAATGAAAATGAGGGAAATAGGTCATAAGCTTAAAGTTAAAATTGATGAAGAAAAACAATTGACATGCAGTTTGGAATCCAGAAGTGCATTGATAAATGAAGCAAAATGCATTTCCGAAAAACTTAAGGAGGAAAAAGAGGCTCTAAGGAGAGAAAAAAATGAATTTCAGAAATTGTTGAATGAGAGACACGCTGAAATAGTAACGGAAAAAGAAGCTGCCAATGATCGCCTGTCGAAAATGCGCATTGATTATGAAAGTAGACTTAAAGAACTTTCAAACCTTTCTACTAAGGTACAGCATGATGCATCCGAGACAGAAAAGAAATTAAAAAAGAAAATTTACGGCTTGGAACAAGACCTTAAGAAAGAAACAGAACAGAACAAACAACTTAAATCACAAGTCAATTCACTGTCAGAAAAGATTAAAGATCTTGAAACAGAAATTCGAAATGAACAGGAGAAAAATGCATATAAAGAATCACAAATTGAAACTGCAGCACTTCAACTGGAGGACGTAACCAAGAACAATGAGGAATTGAAGTTTAAGCTTGTACAAGCTGCAGAAAATACCAGGTCAGAGATGGAAAAATCCAGTGCAAAAATTTCAGATCTTACTCAAGATAAAACGTCACTGGCGAAGCAGCTGAGAGCTCTAAAAGACAACATGCAAGACCTACAAACTACCCTTACAACACAAAAGACGACATACGAAGCAAAGTTTTCAGATCTGATGCACAATATGGAGCAGTTACAAGGAAAGAAATTGGAAACAGACAAAATGATCTTTGCCCTTGAACAAGGCCACAGGGAACTTCAACAGTTGTATGAGACTACAAAGGAAGAACTTGATCAATTTAAGCGTATTAAGAAAATGCAAAGTAAGTACAATATCGTATGTTTGCATATGAATCGCAGAATTATTATTATTTCACACGCCATTTAACCATCAACTACAACAGCGATAAGTGAGTGATAATATGTTTGCAATTCGTTTTAAATAATTAAATGAATTAAAAGATATAAATACTACTGTACATGCTACCATTCCTTATGTCATTCAAAAAGAGATATTACAAATACCGTCTCTTTCATTTATCACATTCATGTATGAAACATATATTAAGTTAATTGATTAAAAACTTCCCATACAAAAATTACATATCCCGTCAATGAGCATTTGCTCTCATGTTTATGTCTTTTTTAATATAGTGAACACTAATGTATTTTTCTGTTTACGATACTAAAATTGTTCCGTCAGTCACAGGCATTCTAATATAGGCCTATACATTTCCAGAGACTCTAAGATTAACTTAAACATACGATAGTCTTTACTTTTTGAAATGAATACGGAAATAACTGTGTCTTTTATAATAGATGTTGTTATGTTTGTTTTCAGTTCAAATGTATTACAACAGTAGATCCTCTTTGATTTCGAAAGTGGAAAATGAGCTCAAGACTTTGCTGAAAAGAGAGATAGAAAGTAATACGACGAAATTAGAATTTATTGACCGTGAAAAGGTCAATGATATTGCCCCAAGTGAACCACTACTTATTATATGTATATGTGCTTCAAGACTTTCCACAGATGCATCAAATGCAGTACAGTCTTTGAAATGTAAGTAATAAATACTTAATATAGTCAAGTGCATCCGGATTATTGGCTATTGCAGTTATTTCAGACACGCCGTCCTAATAAGTCTTCCTTATTGCCGTTTCTGTTGTTCATGTAGCCATAAAGTTAGAGAACTTTCAAGTGACGTCAGGTAAATAAAATTTAAAAAAATCAACTACACAATGTAAATAATTTTTAGTTTGCAGAAGAAAATGCTTTTTATCAACTTCAGAAAACTTAGTTTATTCTTTCAATTTCATTTTAGTTCAATAGACTGATTTAACATTTTGCATTTGACCTGCTTGTAAAACGGGGAATATTCATATATCATTTTTTTTCAATGACATTTAATTCGATTTTTCTATCTAGAATGAGTTATGAAATTCTTTTTGTTATCATTAATTTAAGAATATTACAAATTAAAAATTTTGATCAAGAACTTTTACAGTTGTTTTATCAACATATTTACGACTATCACTTATTGTGTTTTATTTCAGTAACATCAAATATGGCTCTGCTAGTGTTTCACCACAAGGACGGACATGCACTGCCAAACCAGGCCAGTGAGCATGTACTGACTGGGAACGAGTATAAACGTTTAGGCGGCATTTTTGACTTTGGTTTTCTTTCAGGCAAAGGAATATATTCGTGTGAAATGAATGATCAGAACTTCAGAAATATTGTGCACTTCATACGTAAAGAACATTAAAATCTGATACATTTTCCAGTATAACCAGCAATTCTATAAGCACAAAAAATGTATATTAAATAGAGGATGTTGAATGGATGTTGGTCACATAATGATTTAAACATGAATATATTACTCAAGCCTTTTGCGAGTAAATAATTATCATATAATTGTAACATTTATTAATAAATAAAACTATATAAATGTAATATAATCATATATTTTATTTACATTAAACATCCAGAATTAGAAAAACGGTCGGGTTTTTCTATTGGTTCAACCAGGTTGTAGGTGGGGAATAAAGAGAAACATCTGTTTCATCCTGGATGTTTATAAACTTAAGGTTTATTCCTGTTGTGTTTTCGAAGAGATTTGTACATCAAAGTACAATAATTGACTTAAATAGGTCAACAAAATAACTGTTCACAGAGAAAATAATTGTTTTGTTTTTGTTTCTTGACGCGTCTATAGTTTAATGCTAACATGGAAAGCTTTTTTACGCTGTATTTGTTTAAGTTCACGTCAAAACATATGCACGACTGCAATTTCGTTTTTACGGAGTCGCAAAGGGACACGTGATAATAGCATAGATATGCAGACTGGTCTAACTCTTTATTAGCACCGAATACTTATATCTGTCAGTTGCTCCAGGTCAAGGATTAGAATTTATTTGCTTTTTCTTGTTGCTTGAGTTGTGAAATAATATGCAGAGTAATTGATGTTTTATTGCTTTTAAATAATTTTGTATTTGTCACAGTTAAATATCGTATCATGTATGATTGATATGAATTTATCACATTGAGTTGTTAGTATTTTAGTCAGTACTTATACTTGTAGGAATAAAATCATTTTAAAAAACTGTGTTATGTTATAAATACATATCTATATTTATATTTGAACTCAAATCGAACTTTGAAACCTTAAATTGAACTATGTATATTTATTTCCAAAGCATTTATTTGAATTCATTCGCCCACATTTGAAAATCCCTGAGAATATTTCCAAATTCAGAATTTCGCTATAAATAGGTATAGCCGGTGCTCTGAGCACGGACGGTAGTTTCATTTTACCACTACCATCCATGTACATGTACAGGCCCAGTCAGACTTCAATTTTGTCGTCTATGAGGACACAGTTCCAATTTTTTTAGAACTACACATTATAAAAGTTTTAACTCTATGTTTCAATACGAGTTACCTTACATTTTCAGGTGATTCTTTTTTGGGGGCGGGGGGGAGGGGGTGGGGAAGAAATGCTCAATATACAAACAATACAACAGAGTCAGTAATTTGGAAAATATATTCATAATTTGCGTAACGAGTTTTTGCACGATGTTAGATTCAAAATAAAATTTTAATTTTTATCATATCAATAAATATCTTTGTATTATTAAAAAATGGTACATAGCACATAGTGTATTCTAGCATTAAAGTATGGTGGCTGATTTGGTACGCTTTTGTGCGTCGCGTTGGCGCAAGCGACATCACGACGAAGCGCCAAATGACGCGTTGTCGCGCTGTCGTCCTGTCTCTAGCGCGGCACGCCAAACGACGCGTTGTCGTGCGGCTTGTCGCAATATCCCATTGTCGCTTGGTTTAAATTGAAAGATTGGCTTTTAAGCAAAGCGACAGGGCGAATACGTGCTGCGCTAGAGACAGGACGACAGCGCGACAATGCACCGTTTGGCGCTTTGTCACGTTTTCGCTAGCGACAGGACGAAAAGACGAAAGTCTGACAACGCGCCGTTTGTCGCTTCGTCGTGTTGTCGCTAGCTTAGGTCATAAATGTAACAGAAATTTGATAAAACAAGTTTCAAGAATGAATAATTTACAAAGCGAAAATAGAAAAGTTATTTTTATCAAAATATAAAATCTCCTTGGAAAATGGAAAACCCACTGTCACAAGCCTCGTTTTTCGTAAACGGATATCGTAAGTAGACACATTGTTTTATTACAGATGAGTACATGATCTATAACATCTGGTTGTGCAGGATTTCAAAGGTACCTATTTTTAATTTTAAATTTCATTTTGAGGTTTACAGTAAAGATTTGATACCGCATATTAACACTTGCATATAAAGCAAATATTTTTTATCATGTGAAATATCCAAAGTAGAGCGGTAATACAACTCCTCTATGGCGGTACATGATTACCCTTTTTCATTTTAATCGAAGTTCTCTTTGCTTTCTCGCATATGCAACTCGAGGGCACAACAAATAATGCCTAAATAAGTAAATCATACACTTTTTGGCCTTTTCAGATGGATTTCTATATAATCAGACAAACAAATGCATGAACTATGATGTTTTATTGAGTGTGTGTATAAATCGACTTTTAATAATAAGTATAATTTGATTATATCATTTAAAAGGCCTTATGTGCATAAATATAATGTTTTCACAAACCCGAAAGTAATTACGACATATCTATTGAGTATTTTTGGATATGACACGGTTTTAAATTAATTTAAAACAGCGGATGCAATAACAATCTTATGTCAGGTGATTCTGTTTGTCTGTCAAACATTTTACCTAAATATACTTTTTTTCAATCAGTACTATTTGGAAAGATAACTTTAACTCATAGATTACTCTAACACTTAAAACATTTGTGTTTAACACTGTGTTTTATCGAACAAGCACATGGTCGTCTAGTAATATACAAGCAGGACAGACTGTTATGATATTTTTAATTTGGTGAACTTTTTAATGTGAGGAAATAATCTTAACTTTTTGTTTACAAAGACTCCCCAAAACAATTTTTACTAAACTACCATAAGGTTTGACATTATGTCTAGCTAAGGTGTAAAAAGACCATGTTTAAATACCTCATTTAGGACCTTTAAGAAATACATGTCTCTGTTTTCATAAACATTTTTGTAGTGTATTCTAAAGTCTTTCAACCAATCTTCGTTTAGTTGGGTCATATTTAAATTTAATACATACGAATGTCTCAGATTTTGCAAAAAAATATGTGATGTGGAGTCAGAGTTAATTTTCCAACCAGTACATTCTTTTTTCATTAATCAAAGACTTCGGATTTTGTTTTGTTTTAAGTCAGTCAAATGATATAACTGCTTTCAATCCGTATTATTGTTGGTGTGGTTACTGATACTCGGCGAGGAGGTGTTCTGAATGAGTATGCCTTGATAAACAGTAACCATATTGTATTTTAAATGAATCTCATTATAATCTTTAAAAAGTAAATCCAAAATGTGTAGGAGACGACTTTTCATAAAAAAAACTAGTATTTCCTCTTTTTCATGAATCTAGGCTTCGTGTGTTAACTGAACAATGGAAAATAATAAACGATTTTTAAGGAAAAGAAAATCCGATGAGAATAATCTTGAATTTGACAGAGATGTCAACAAACAATACAGTGTCCAGCAACAAAAAGTTAGAAGACAAGACAAAAAGTCGAAAACAAAGTAGAAGGAAAAATGAATGCAAAAACCTAAACAAAAGATGGACTTACGAAGGGTATTTCTATTTCGTATCGACAACCTGATAAACCCCAGGGGATGGCTAAAGATTTTGGAAAAGTGTCAAGAGGAAAGACAAAATACTTATAAAGGAGAGACAGTGGCAAGAGCAAAACGCCGGATCAAATGCTTGCTCCCGCACAAGCGAAATGGAAAGAGTCAAAAGGGAAAACTCTTAATTTGCAAGAGAAAGCATCTCATAACGACATGTTGAAGGGAAAGGTAGATGCGTCGGAAACACGTTCACAATGTAAAAATGATAAAGGTGAAATAAAAAATGAACTTAAAGATTCAGAATGTCTGAAAACTAAAAACGTGAAACTTCATAAAGAAATAAAGACGCTGCAGGCGGGAAAACGTAAATGAATATCGAATTTAGCAGGAGTAAAGAAGATGCAAATAAATGGAAAGAAAATGCTTTGGCGGAAAAAGATGACAATAAACGACTTAAACAAGAGAGAGCTGCAATGGAGAAGAAAATTGATAAATTAGGTTACGACCTCCAGATTAAAATTAACAAAGAAAGCCTCTTAAAACATGATGAATGACAATTATGTAGAAATGGTTAATCAAGTTGAAACTTTCCAGAATTATAGCATTTCAAAGAAAAAACTTGAGACTGCACAAGAACTAAACGATTTGTCCAATAAACTTATTAAAATGAAAGATGATGCGCTAAAAAAAGAAAATAAACTAAAATTTGAACTCGCCGAATCTGAAAAGCATCTTAAAACTGAAAGATTTATAATTTCGCTGGTCAGCTTATTCTCGAGAATGAAGATACCTGTACAAACGATAGAGTTGAAACGAATCTGTTTAATTGTTAAAAAGAAATGAAAAAGTCCCACCCAAAATCTGATATTTAGAGACGTCAATTGAGAGATGTTCTACGTGAAAATAAAGATAATCGCTGAAAGGTAATTCGGTTCACAATGACGTGTAAAGTGAAACTGAAACAGGCATACAATAGAAAATGAAATGCGGACCTCAGCCGTGACAAAACATACTTCCAAGAAGATATCAGTCTTGGAATGAACGAAAATACAGAGTTATCAAGAAACTATTACAACAGAAACAAAATTACATGAGACAAAAATCTTAGATCTTAAGCGCCAATTAAAATTGGTTCAAGATGACAAATCAGAAACAGAGAAAACACTTAATTCTCTGCGGCAAGATCACAAGAAACTTCAACAGATGTATGATACCATTAAACAGGAAATTGAACGATTCAAAGCTATCAAGACCGTTCAAAGTATGTAAATGATAAAAGTTATTCTATGCATTTAAGTGAACACAATTTAACAACAATCATTTGTGAAATACAAGAATTTAAAACTGTTAATGAAATTTAATTTTAAATTAATCAAATGTAAACTTGACCCGACACAAAGGCTTTGTTCTTTCATCTTCCGTTGCTTGTCACGGATTGGGTCTCGCCTAGTTTTATAGATGTAAAAAGTAGTGGTAGTAGAATTAGTACAAAAATGTAATGCAATCTTAGTTGTATTAGTTTGATTTGACGTGAAACTAAGTAATCTACGTCTTTGTATATAATCTTGTTGTTTTCAGTCCAGTTGTTCCATGGCAGTAAAATTCCGTTGATTTCAAAGGTGGAAAATGAGCTAACAGCATACTTAAAGAAAGAGATGGAGAACGTAGTGACGAAACTTGAATTCGTGGAACGCGAAAGTGATACTGACGTCGACCCAGACAAAACACTGCTGATTGTATGCATAAATGCATCAAGACTAGGAACAGATGCTATTACCGCAATTAAAACGTTAAATGGTAAACTAGAATTATATTCATTTTGTGATTTGTGTCATATTGATACATGTATTAAATATTGCACTCTTCCAAATCGGTAGAATGTTTCTCTATTGGAGAATTGGCATTCTCATGCTGCAAATGAGTAAATGGTTATACACGCGAGTATTCATATGACTTTTGAGTTTGATAAAGTTAGAACCACTTGTTAAATATGCAATATTTCACATTTGGTTGTCTTTTCCTGTTTTTCCATCTACAAGTTCATAAAGGTTTATTTAGAATACAAAGCTCTGCATCGTAGTAAATGTGTACATATAACGATACAATACAAAGGTTCATTTATGTACAAGATACTATTCGCTCGAAAAGTCTTCAATTTCACTAACAACTTACTTATTATTAAGACCCTTGAGTTGCATTTCAGAATTGGTCACTGATAAATTCTGCGCGATTATAAGAAGCGACAAAGTGGGTTACTAGAGAGAGATGTTGCATATTTTTATTATCCCCAACGTACAGACTTAATCAAACCGAGGTTGCGATTTTCATGTAATTTTGTTGTGATTAATGCTTCCATGAGGGATCATCACTTTTTCCCAGATCAAATAAATGGATTCTATATACATCTGTAATAACTTGCAGCAGGTTAGTGGTTGTTTGACTCCCGGTGATGCTTTAAGTTTGTCATCATCCGATTTTTAACTTAAACTCATCTCTCCTATTTCTTAAACTTGTGTTGTGCCAAACCAAAACAACAAAAAAATCTTGGACGTTTCTAAGGTATTGGTTAATGTAAGTGATCATATGCCATACGATTATTTTTTTGCTTTGCTCCAGTGACCTCAAAGATGGCATTGCTGGTGTTTCACCATAAGGATTGGCAATGCACTTCCAAGCCAAGGCCAGTGCAGCACGTACTGACGGACACGAGTTTTAATGTTCGTTTAGGCGGAATTTTCGATTTTGGCTTTTCTGCTCGGCAAAGGCATATATTCGTGTGAAATGAATGACCAAAATTTAAAATATTTTGTAAACTTTTTAAACAAATGGTGTACGAAATAATGGGTTACAATAAGTGAGACTCCCGGTTAAGAATAAGATTTTTTCAAACAAGTATCATACAGTACATGAAAATAATGCAAAACTTGGCCATATGAAGCGATGTTGTTATAAACATAACATAAAATAAACATATAATCATACTGCTATTTTAGTTTTACAATAAGTGTTCTGACTAAAATATAACGGGATTCTGAAGCAAGTAAAATCAAATATAGTGTTTGCATATATTTATGTACTTAAATGCTGATGGATAAATAAAGCAATAAAATGTATTAAATATACATGCACTATATGGCATAAGATATGATGGTTAAACGCCAATGAAGTTATTACAATTATTATTTAAAATTGAACAATTTCACTTAAATTATAAATAAAGATAGAAAATAGGTGAATCACTCTTTGTCATTTTTCCGCACAAATATTTGACATGGATATAAGAGGTTTATCAAGTCATAATGATGATTAGATTATTGTATTGATTTTCCCTTTGGTAATTGCCAAACATATAACAACAATTATCGGTTTCAAGCATTGGATAAATTGTAACGTATACTCGAATTTGAGTTATAAGTTTTAGAGAAAATTGTAATCAAAATAAGGATTTGCGCGTATGCTTTACGTATGGAGTGTTTGTGAAAATTATTTCTTTATAAATCATATAAATGATGATTATTATTAGAGGGGTGTGTTGACATAAAGGGGACATTGAGTGGACTTTCTTTTAAATTTAGCTTAAAATTGTGTCTTAGTCTCTTTGATTCCTATTCAAGAGCTGCACGAATAAGGAATGCCATTAGCGCGCTCTTATGCATGTCCTGTGCCCATATATCAACAAAAGCTATGTTAGCATGGCCACCCCCGCCGAATGTGTTTGCTCATTGGAAGAATGTATTTGCAGTAGAGCAATAATAAATTCTAATTTAAAGTGGTCCTTTTGGTAATGAAAACTGATTACAGATTTCGAAACCTATGGCGATATACTGTATGGTGCTGAAAATGTGGAAAGGGTCAATAAGTGAAAAATAATGCAGAAGCAGGTTATTTCATTTCTTGTGTGCTGCACTCCTCCTAAATAAAAGTCTATCTCCATATATGAACTTTCAAAGTTGATTACCATTTACAGTTTTGAAGACAAGTCTTTCCGGACAAAAAGTATGATAAAAGAACAAGGGGCAATAACTCAAAAAGTTATATTAGAGAAGAGTTATCATTTTGCGCAGCAGCAATTCTTATTCAATAAGATTCTTCAACCTATGAAGTTTCATGTTCATATCTTAAAAGCTTTGGAGTTTGCTCTGGACAAAAATTATTTTGAAAAATAACAAAGGGCAATAACTCAAAAAATATGCAAGATAGAGTTCTTTTCTCATTTTGTGCACTGCACTCCACCTCAATGAGATCTATCCACTTATGAAGTTTCAAGTTGATACCTCAATTACCTTTAGAGATAAGCTCCGGACAAAATAGTATGAAAAAGAAAAAAGGGCAATAACTCAAAAATTATATAGGGAAGAGTTATCATTCTTGCGCACAGCATTCCTCCTCAATAAGATCTATCCATCTGTGACGTTTCATGTTGACATCTCAAACACTTTTGAGTTATGTTCCACTCAGGTGAAAAATTAAGTATGAAAAATAACAAATGGCAATTACTCAAAAATTATTAAAGGTAGAGTTGTCATCCTTGTGCACTGCACACCTCCTGAGTGAGATCTATCAACCTATGAAGTTTCATGTTGATATCTCAAAGGCTTTTGAGTTGTGCTCTTAACAAAAATTAATTTTTAAAATTAACAAAGGGCAATAACTCAAAAATTATGCAGGGTAGAGTTATTATTCTTGTGCACTGCACTCTTTCTCAATGAGATCTATCCACTTATGAAGATTCAAGTTGATACCTCAAATACTTTTTGAGATATGCTCTGGACAAAAATGTCGGACGGAGGGACGGACGAAGACTATTTCTATATAAGGATAATTTAGGAACTGTAATTATTATTATACTCGTATATTATCCAATACTAACTCCTGTCAAAATTTGAAAAATAAATGAAAAAATATAGAACATGTACTTAAAACAAAGTTGTATGCCATTGATTACATCATATTGATTATGTTTATTTAACAGGCAATATATGGGGAAGATATTTTTCATACAATATCATTTGCGAACAATATATTAGTGGCAAAATTCGAGAAATTTCACGTTGTTTTAGGTATACCAGGACATTTCATTTGGGTAGTTGTCATTTTCATAAAGTAGAGCGAGAATTATTAAGGAAATTGGCAAGACACTTGAACGTTCTTTTCAGTGCTCAGGAGAATATCTATAAACTCTAGTTTGTTTGTTTCATTTTACGCCTTTTCCAAACAGTGTTCCAGTCACATAGGGCGGGTAATTTCAAAACCAGTCGTTCCTGGAAGTTCGGACCAACTACCCCTTTCCTCGCGCAAAACTCCAAAAAATTTTGGGGACTGAACCCCCCCCCAGAAAGGTAATTTAGAAGTCATCACTCTAACCCCGACACATCGGTATAACTCTAGTAGCAAAGGTCTTACACACTTCATACGACTATATCATTGATGCATGTGGTTATTACTTGTTATCAATGTTGTTATTGTTGTTGCTGCTTCTTTTATTGCAAATCAATTTTATTTTATATCATTTCGGAGATCAGGCTTATTTTGGACACTATACACGTAAGCACCACATAAAAGATAAAAAATTATAATAAAAATTACCCTTAAAATGAAAAGGTACATTTTTAAATGAAAGTGATACCATTATTTTGTTGTTATTCTTTATTTTATTTTTTATTTTAAAGTAAAGAAGCTTGGATATTTAGTTACTTTTAGTATCATCAAAGTTGTCATCCAAAGATGTTATTTCAAAGACATCAATGGATTACCAAACTCACCCAGAGCGGTACTTGGATTCAAGGCAATTCTGACATAAAAAGAGAAATGTTTAATTCTATAAAAATCAATGATGCTGCATCTAGCATTAGAACGAATTTTGGAGGCATATAAATAGGACACATATAGAAGCGGATTCAACAAAACTGATAGCATATTTATATTTCTTTCTTATAGCTTTCACAGCTCCAGCAAGACAATTAACTGTTTTGCGCAAAGGTCGCAAATGAAAACACGGCATAACAGGTCAACACTTAAATTAGACTAGCATGTGCAATGTGAATGGTATTAAACGTATTGTCCAATTCTTCTTCACAGTGTTGTCCGTGGGCAGAGCTGCATTACTGGTACTGGTACTGCAGTACGTACTGCAGCGATTTTGCAAGTACTGGTACTGATACTGAATTACTCTTACAAAATTTTGCTACTACTGGTACTGCATTACTGTCTTAAAAAGTGCTACTGCATTACTAGGCAGTACTTTTGGTTTTTATAAAAATAGCATCAATTTTTCTCATTAAATAAAGCTGTAAATAACATTATTTTATTTTTGTGAAAAAGTAAGTTATCAAATCTATAGATAATTTGCTGCAATATTCCTTCAAATGTTAACATGGTATTTATCATAAAAAAGCACCAAAGATTTGATGTAAAAATTAAATTGAGATACACAGTCTCAATAACTCTTTACCCTAAAATATCCTTATTAAAATCTTTTATTACTTTGTATTTACTAGTAAGAGAGAAAAATAATCACTAATTAATTGCTTCTATTCTAAATAATCCTATTTCAAGCGATATTGTTAACACCATAAAAAGTTATTTACTTTGGTATAATTTGAACAGAGGTGTGAAGGTGTGAAAGGCAACAAAAGACTGTTGTGTTTTAAATGAAAAATATATATGTTGTAAATGTTACAATGTTATACTTATTTATTATGTTAAAACTAGAAAGTTGTAAAAATGTTATGTTAACTTTAAAGTAAATTATGATTTTATTTCTTTGCTGAATAATATTTGCAATTATTTGTTTGATACTGTGTAATTAATTTAAACTTTGATGAATACTATGAGTACTGATACTTAATTACTTCACCAAAAAAAAGTACTGGTACTGCAGTACCGGGCTAAAATCTAGTACTGGTACTGGTAATGGTACTGCATAATTTGCTAAGTACTGGTACTGGTACTTAAGTACTACACCCTTAGTACTGATGCAGCTCTGTCCGTGGGGTCCGTTTAATACACATAAATGCATTTAGTATTAAAAACCTGGAAATATACAAGTCCGTGATAAGGGCTGTGCAAGATGTTGCACTATTAATTATTATTATCTTTTGTCGCTCGGCGTAAGCGACAGGCAAATAAAGGAAGAAAGTCAAAGTGTTTTCATAATACTTACATGACTTGGTTTGGTATCGTAGTCATAATATAACGTGAAGGGCACGGAGGGTCAACTCAAATCTTCCACCACCACTACAGCTGGGAAGATACCGTAGAAAGGTACCGGTGTGACTACTTAAAATGATAACAATTATATCTATATCTTTTCAGCTAGCTTTGATCTATTCCATTTGTCTGATGACAAAACAAGTTCTAAATCCTTTCTTAAACTTACCACTGCTGTTTTAAGCTAACCAATACAGTGTTTGTTAAGGACATGATGTGATACTTTTAATATACACCTGTTTCGATTGGAAAATGTTGGGTATTATTACATATTTACGTTAAAAAAGCAATATAAAATATTTTATTAACATAGTGACTCATATTTTAAATATGAAACCTGAGCATAATATCTTTGATATTTTTGGGTTTTCATTATTACAAAGGCATATTTGTATCACGTATGGCATTCGTTTTGATTGAAAGACTTGCTGCGAAAGTGTTCCCCAATATTCATATCATTTCTTTCAAACCGATGATTTTTGTTAGTTATATAATCTCTGTCATTGACAACTAAATATATTCAATTGTCATATTATGTTGCTTGGGGTTATGGAATTGGAATACAAGATGTGTTCAAGTTCATTTGAGTTCCTAACTTAAATGAAACACATGTATTACTTTGAAGACAGATTAAGTCCCCAAATTTAACCTTTATTTCTCAAAAGTATTTGTTTATGCTTGATGATTTTACAATTTCCGAATTTAAACTCATTGACCATATACGTATCAGTACCATCCGTAGCTTTGTAGTCATTAGTTAAGTTATAATGACTTAGCATAATGTATAGAAAACAGAAATCTCGTTGTTTGCGTTTTGCAACTTTTATGGCCCATTTCACATGTATAACGTGATCAGCATCTCACATGATATAAATCTATGTAACAGATAATTAATGAACAGAGGTTTGTCTTTTTTAATACTAGAAAAAATACTTTTTGGGCTTAAATTTTAAGATACTGCAGCAAGTGCTTTTGGAAAACACTCTTATATCCTTTTATATTCCATGCTTTACTTCCCCCTATTAGTGTCTGAAGATTTAATACAGCTTACGCCAGTGCTAAGGGCCATGTGTTAATAAGAAAGAGTAAAGAACATAAGAATCCCTAACGAAAGTCCAAAACGGCAAAATTGAAAATGTTGCAGGCTCAGTTTGATTGAGCCTGTTCATGGACGGTACTGTAAAGTGCAAACTACCGTCCACGCCCCATAGCACCGGCTTAAGCAGAATTGAACATGAACTGGTACAATTTGGAATTTTGAAACATCTTCAGATGTGTTCATAAGGCGGTTATCATGGAACCTTCAATGTGACACTTCCGTGTCATTCCAAGAAAAGCGGCATAAAGTAAAAAAATGCGTGTGCCTGAAACGTGAAAACAATGGGCGGAACTAAATAAAATTGATTTTTGAAAGGGGATCAGAAGTCATGAAGCCTGCATATCACAGATAAGACGTCAAAAGACAAATTCAAAAAGCAGGCCACATATCCTAAGGATGATTCAACAGTATTCTAATGAGGAATACTGGAACCACCCAACAAGAAAATGGCCGATTAGAAAGAACTAAATTTCCTCTAGCACAACAATAATGTCGTGCTGAATGATCTTAAAGGTTTGGAAATATAACATGTCTGATTGAATGTATGGGGCGACTTTTTACAGCCTCCACGGGGCACATACAACGCTGATGTGGCAATAAAATAGAGAAAATAAGAATCCTTAAAGAAAATCCAAATCGTCAATATTGAAAATGTTGCAGGCTCAAAAGACACAAATTATTTATGATTATATATGTATTTTATTTACATGTTGATACATTTGATTAAATATATATAACAGTGTCGAAAAAGAATGAAATTGGTCCTCGACTATATTAAGTTTGAAAACTTCTCATATTGACAAAATAATCATAAAATAGATAAATACAGAATCCCTAAAGAAAGCCCAACACGGCAAAATTGAAAATGTTGCAGGCTCGGTTTGATTGAGCCTGTTCATGGACGGTACTGGAAAGTGCAAATTACCGTCCACGCCCCCTAGCACCGGCTTAAGCAGAATTCAACATTTAAACGTGAAATAGTAAAATTTTGAATTTAGAAACATCCGCAGATGTGTTCATACGGCGGTTATCATGGAACCTTCAATGTGACACTTCCGTGCCATTCCATGAAAAGCGGCGTATGGTCCCCAAGTAATAAAAAGCGTGTGCCCTAAACGAGAAAACAATGGACGGAACTAAATAAAATGGAATTTTGAAAGGGGATCAGAGGTTATGAAGCCTGCGTATCACAGATAGGACGTCAAAAGACAAATTTAAAAAGCAGGCAACATATCCTAAGGGTGATTCAACATTATTCAAGTAGAAATATTGGAACCACCCATATAGAAAATGCCGAAAATGTTGAAACTAAAAATACCACAAGCACAACAATAATGTCGTGCTGAACGATCTTCAAGGATCGAAAATATAACATCATTGATTAAATGTACGGGGAGACTTTTTACAGCCGCCACACGGCACAAATAACACGGATGTGATCATAAAATAGATAAATACAGAATCCCTAAAGAAAGCCTTAACATTTTATACATTTGAGTATACAATGCATATGTAACAATGTTAAAAAAAGTGAAATTGGTCCTCTATTATATAAAGTTTGAACACTCCTTATAATGACAAAATAATGTTGCCTGTCAACCCGTTACCAAAAGAAAATATTTTGAAATGAAAGATCATTTATGAAAATGAAGCAAATTCATGCAAATATTTTTGCAGATAAAATTTACACCATAATATGATTGCATATACATAGTTGTTTCAAACCAAATGGCACGTCAAAACAATGCGATTGTCCGTAAAAAAATCCTTCACTAGCTGGTTGTTTTCTAACTCTGTGCTGCTCTAAGAAAACTTTCAATACCAGCTGAAGCAGCACGGTTCATGTCACATGCATATATTCCTTTTCCAGAAAGAAATCCGATATCAAAAATTCCACCTAGACCTTTGAACTCCGGTTCTGTTAATACTCTCTCACTTGCCTGATTTGGTAATGCATGAACGTCTTTGTGGTGGAATATTAATATGGCCATTTTAGATGACACTTAAAATAGAACAAAACAAATACAAATGTACATTTACAATACAATAATTATAGGCCATAATTGTTAAAGTGGCAGTAATGCAATCAACAAATTCACTAGAAGATCGCAAAGACATAACATTAAATCCGTTTATTGAAGCCTTGTTTATAACTTAATTATTCTGTATTAAAGGTAAAGGTTTGTTCCTTAGCTCAGTTGCTGATACAATCTTGTTGAGTGTTATAAATTAGATACAAACAAAATGATATTGTTTCTTCTTGCAACTTGAAAGCAAATCTAATCCAAGACATTTCATCATTAGGACTTTCAACTATATTATACCTTTTAAGTTTTGTATTGCTAATCCAGCGTCTGTTCCCAATCGTGAACTATTGATGCAGAACACAAAAATAGGTATTTGAGGGTTAACGTCAGTCTCTGTTTGACATAAAAGAAACTGAACTTCGTGTCTTTTAATGTTCAGTTGGGTTGCCAGCATCGATTTAAGCTCGTACAATAATGTAGCAATCATGCCGCCCTTTAGGTTATGAAATAATTGAACTGTAACTAAAATTAACAAATATAATCATATTCAATGTAAATTCAATACATGTTGACCAAAGGAGTAAAACTTTGTAAAATTTACAGGGTTGGTGATCACGTGACATATCGAAAACTGTAATGTTCTATCTCCAAATTTTCCAAAAACAAGTTAAATACACAATTTTGTCCGTAATGGACTGTTCTATCTCATTGGCATGTTATATTAGTGTTTCAGAGCTTCATAAATAAATTACAACGAAACCATCCTGTTCTATCTCCACAAATTTAGTATGTCTTGATAAATAGACTGTTCTAACTTACTGGACTAATCATATCATCGACAAATGTCACGTGACCTGTGGGATATATGCAACATACTGTTCTAAATCCAAAATTATCGTATCAAACATAGCATTAAATCATGTGATAACAGGACACCCGCCATGTTGTACGAAACATTTTGAATTAGATGGTTTGCTGTTTATTTCATATATTAATACTAAATTTTAAGCAAGGAAATATTAAAATCCACATATCTTTAACGATATTGAGTTGTTCTATCGACATCACGTTTAGTAGTTTTTAAATTTTCAAAATCCGGCAATAAATAAAAAAGTTATGCAATACTAAATCTTCACATGCTTTTTTCTCAAAAACAACAAATTGGCACTTAGAACAAAACGTTTTTAAGCGACGATGTATTCACGATAATATTGGATCACAGCTTATGATCGCGGCCATGCCTTAAAAGGTACATCATGGCGTCATGGGCGCGGTCATTAGCGTTGACGTAATATTACCTTAAAACATTTGTCAGTGATCAAACACCCTATAAATTCGATCATTTTGACAAATGCCATTATTTGAAGTTGTTAAAAAATGAAGGATTTACATCAAAAATATATGTTTAACTGATGTTTCTATATTGTAAGTCTCGATATTGAATTTTGTACTTAAATAAATTTTGGCAGGGTCATTTACATACACTCAAGTATGTTGTTCTGAAACATTCTATGGGGCAATTCTTTGAGAGCCATATTTTAATATTCGATACATTAAAACCCCGGAATACAGCCAAAGTATCGGTACTCACTTGTCTGCTTTGATTTGTCGATACCTTGCTCAAGCGCATTTTTTTCCGTTCTTAAAACTTTGACATTGCTTTGTAGGTTTTGTATTTGTTGTTCTAGACCTTCAGATTTTTCGTTTAACTCATTCAATTTGCTTTCCAATCTCGCATTTTCGTTTTGCAAATTTTGCAATTCTTCATCTTTGTCCATTATGTACTTTTCGTGTCTTTGTATTGTTTCTTTAAGTTGTACCTTTTCGGTTTCCAAGACCTCATTTGATTGTTTCAAAGAGTCAACTTTCGTTTTGGATTTTTCGTATGCGTTCTTATAATCCATCGTTGGTGAACCTTCATATTCTATATAAAACTTGTTCTTGCTATTGTCAACAGACGTTCCCTCTTCAATTCTGTAATACTCTTTTATTTTGCGTACGCATGAATTTAATCTTTGGAACGAACCGTACAATAAGTCACTTTGGCACAGTAAAGATGACTGTAAAGAAAGAAACGAAGTTTAAAATGACTGAATTAGCATGTTATTTTACTACACCGCTTTCAAATTTCTAAATTTCCATTTACTGCTTTAATCATATAGTTCATACAAGGTTACAGCAACAGGCGTGAAAAACGATTAGATTCAAAATGATGGAAAATGCACAATTTATTTTTAATAATTCAACACACATAGATCTATAATTATATTGATAAAAATGGTAAGTAAGTGTTTAAATGTCCGCCGGGTTTGAAATGAGTTTCCTAAAATATGTTACACTGGTTTTACTGGCAAAAATCATTTTTAACAAGAAATGAAAGGATGCTACGTAATCGTGTACGCTTTAGAAGGGTTGATCAATAAGTTTGTAAATACAAGCAATTTACTCGTATACTAAAGAACATGTAAATTATCATTATTATTTCACAGTGTACACTATAAAAGAGGATTGACAAATCATTTCCTATGATTATCACCTTAAGGCCGTAAAAAGTTTAAAAATTTTACATGGAAATATAACTCATTAAACATTCCTTTACTTAGTCTGGAATTTTTATCATCAAAACTATTAAAATAACAGAATAAACTAGAGCTATAGCTTAGGTGATTCATACCCCCATCCGCCACATACGCTAGGTATATTAAACAAAATTTATATGCATCATCTTAGTGTCCATTATTATGTCCTTAGCCCCTATCAACATGACTTCAGTTCAAAACGGAGGTGTGAGTACGAGCTAGTAACCTTCTCCCAGGAAATTCATGATAATTTGAAAGTGGCCAACAAACTGATGTCATAATCATGGATTTCAGTAAGGCATTTGATTAGCTGGATCATCACACACTTGTGAGTAAAATGGAAGGAATGGGCGTAAGTCACGAGGTAACAAATTGGGTCCTTCCTTCCTTAAGTCTCGCTTCCAGCAAGTTGTAGTTGAGGTTCAACTAGAAATGTGTCCATAGGACACGGGTGCCCCAACACTCCACTGTTTTGTCAATCTTATGCCTTTAGCTCAAATACTTTTTGGGCTACATGTGCCACTAGTTGAAAACTAAAAATTGTTTACTAAGTCAAGGGCAAGAACTTTACAAATACTGAATAAATCCAAAGGCAAACCCCAAGGTGTATAAGTACATGGCTGAACAAAATTCTTGCAAACTTTCAGACCTACCGGTCAAATAGTTTTTGAGTTAGGCATGAACAAGTTGAAAATTGCAAATTTATACTAAGGCAAGGGCAATAACTTTATCAGAACTGAAAAAAATCCACATGCAAAATCCAAGTTGCATAGCTTTACAATGATGTTGATCATTATTCCAGTAAAGTTGGTTATATAACTCAGGCACCCGACGAACAAATAACACAACATAATGGAAAAGTTTTCACTAATTCAAGGGCAATAAATCTGACAAAACAGAAACAAATCCACAAGTGAAATCCCCGCTGCACAGCTTCACATGCTGAGCAACATTCCTGTAAAGTGAATGACACTAGGCCAAATACTTTTTGAGATATGTGCGACACAAGTTGAAAACTGCAAATTTTTACTAAAGCAAGGCCAATCATTCTTAAACAGCTAAATATATCCACACAGAAATACCCAGGTACACAACTACACATGCTGATCAACATTTCTGTAAAGTGAATGACACTTGGTCAAATACTTTTTGAGATATGTGCGACACAAGTTGAAAATTGCAAATTTTTACTAAGTCAGGGGCAATAACTCTAAAAATACTAAATATATCCACACAAAAGTACACAGGTGTACAACTACACATGCTGATTAACATTCCTGTTCAGTTTCATGACACTTAGTCAAATACTTTTTGAGATATGTGCGACACAAATTGAAAATTGCAAATTTTTATTAAGTCAAGGGCAATAACTGTTTGAAACAGTGAAATTATCAATTTGATAATTTCACTGTTTTGAATTTAAGCCCGTTACGTTGTCACAGTGAAATACCAGCGTGCACAGTACTGGAAACCAGCTTAATGACGTGACGTCGTAAATGACGTCACGTAGTATTAGAATTTGGCGCGCTTTTCATTTAGTACTAGGATAAAATGTCTTTTTAAACGTTTCTTAGCATGTAATAAAAAGAAAATTTGTTTAGTTTAGTGTAAGATCGAAATATATGTCACCCCGTGAACACCAAAAGTTCATATTTCACTCGTGGCTGCGCCACTCGTGAAATATACCTTTTGGTGCTCACTCGGTGAAATATATTCCGATCTTACACTGAACTTAACAAATATCCTCTATATCCACACAAAAATACCCATGTGCACAACTACAAATGCTGATCAACATGCCTGTAAAGTTTCATGACTATTGGTCAAATACTTTTTTGAGATATGTGCGACAAAAGTTGAAAACTGCAAATTTTTACTAAGTCAGGGGCAATAACTCTAAAAATACTAAATATATCCACACAAAAATACCCAGGTGCACAACTACACATGCTGATCCACAATCCTGTAAAATTTCATGACACTTGGTCAAAGACTTTTTGAGATATGTGCGACACAAGTTGAAAATTGCATATATTTACTAAGTCAAGGGCAATCACTCTTAAACAGCTATATATATATATACACAAAAAAAACCCAGGTACACAACTACACATGCTGATCAACATTTCTGAAAGGTTTCATGACACTAGGCCAAATTCTTTTTGAGATATGTGCGACAAAAGTTGAAAATTGCAAATTTTTTCTAAGTCAGGGGCAATAACTCTAAAAATACTAAATACGAGTAAATCCACACAAAAATACCCAGGTGCACAACTTCACATGCTGATCAACATTTCTGTAAAATTCCATAACACTTGGTCAAATTCTTTTTGAGATATGTGCGACACAAGTTGAAAATTGCAAATTTTTACTAAGTCAAGGACAATAACTCTAAAAAATACTAAATACGAGTACATCCACACAAAAGTACCCAGGTGCACAACTACACATGCTGATCAATATTTCTGTAAAGTTCCATGACACTTGGTCAAATACGTTTTGAGATATGTGCGACACAAGTTGAAAATTGCAAATTTTTACTAAGTGAAGGGCAATAACTCTTAAAATACTAAATACGAGTATCTATTACATGCTTTTCGGTGGATTATAGAAATATATCAGTGATTTATAAATTGGTAATTTCACTGTTTGAAACAGTGAAATTATCAATTTGATAATTTCACTGTTTTGAATTTAAGCCCGTTACGTTGTCTCAGTGAAATACCAGCGTGCACAGTACTGGAAACCAGCTTAATGACGTGACGTCGTAAATGACGTCACGTTGTATTAGAATTTGGCGCGCTTTTCATTTAGTACTAGGATAAAATGTCTTTTTAAACGTTTCTTAGCATGTACTAAAAAGAAAATTTGCTTAGTTTAGTGTAAGATCGAAATATATTTCACCTCGTGAACACCAAAAGTTCATATTTCACTCGTGGCAGCACCACTCGTGAAATATACCTTTTGGTGCTCACTCGGTGATATATATTCCGATCTTACACTGAACTTAACAAATATTCTCTATATCCACACAAAAATACCCCGGTGCACAACTACACATGCTGATCAACATGCCTGTAAAGTCTCATGACACTTGGTCAAATACTTTTTTGAGATATGTGCGACACAAGTTGAAAATTGTAAATTTTTACTAAGTCAGGGGCAATAACTCTAAAAATACTAAATATATCCACACAAAAGTACCCAGGTGTACAACTACACATGCTGATTAACATTCCTGTAAAGTTTCATGACACTTAGTCAAATACGTTTTGAGATATGTGCGACACAAGTTGAAAATTGCAAATATTTACTAAGTCAAGGGCAATCACTCTTGAACAACTAAATATATCCACACATAAATACCCAGGTGCACAACAACACATGTTAATCAACATTCCTTTAAAGTTTCATGACACTAGGTCAAATATTTTTTGAGATATGTGCGACACAAGTTGAAAATTGTAATTTTTTACTAAGTCAAGGGCAATCACTCTTAAAATACTAAATATATCCACACAAAAATACCCAGGTGCACAACTACACATGCTGAGCAACATTCCTGTAAGGTTTTATGACACTTGGTCAAATACTTTTTGAGTAACGTGCGACACAAGTTGAAGATTGCAAATTTTTACTAGGTCAAGGGCAATAACTCTAAAAATACTAAATATATCCACACAAAAATACCCAGGTGTACAACTACACATACTGATCAACATTCTTGTAAAGTTTCATGACACTAGATCAAATGCTTTTTGAGATATGTGCGACACAAGTTGAAAATTGTAAATGTTTACTAAGTCAAGGGCAATTACTCTAAAAATACTAAATATATCCACACAAAAATACCAAGGTGCACAACTACACATGTTGATCAACATTCCTGTAAAGTTTCATGACTGTAGGTCAAATACTTTTTTATATATGTGCGACATTAAAGAGAACGGACGGACGGACAAGGATAAATCTTAATGCCTCCGCACAAAAATCAGAAATTTTACCTGTCTTCTCAGGTATCCACCAAGGCTTGCTATTAGGTCCCTGCCTTTTCCTTTCCTATATAAATGACCTACATGCATTAGAAATATGGGAAAAAGACTTGTCCATGGAGTTAAAGCCTGGCAAATGTGAACTTCTCAAAATAATAAGAAAAAGAAACCCTGTAGATTTCCTTATGCCCTCCATAACATTCAACTTAACTCAACCCAAGAAGCAAACTACTTAGGGGTCACTATTAATCAAGACCTATCATGGACAAAACATATAAACAATATTAAATCTAATTAAATAACTATCTTAGATTCATTAGAAGAAATATTAAACTGCACATCAGACCTATGTTAGACCTCAGGTTGAATATTGCTCTATAGTTCGGCATCCTTGGCAGAAATACTTAATTTATAAGATAGAGCAAATCCAAAGATCAACTGCTAGATATATTTAATGGTTATGACTATACAAGTAGTGTCTCCAAAATGATAACTTAATTGGCAAACCTTTGAGCAGCGTCGAAACATCAGTGCTGTATCCTACTTGAATAAAATCCAAAACAACATTATCTTTGTTGACCACCAACACCTTACCCAAACAAGAAACTACCTGATACTCTACTCAAGGACAAAATACCATCAAAGTTATTTCTTGTCTAGGAGCAGGCGGCTTTAGAATAGCCTTCCTGTTACTGTTCAGTCTAGCCCCAGTTTAAACATCTTTACTGAGAGACTTGACCTATGCTACAAATTCTAATTTGCACACTTTGTTTTTTAAATTAATAGTCTTGTAGTAAACTTTTATTATTTTATCTTTTTAAATTTGCATATTAATAATGTCTTTATTAACATTTCCCTGACAACGCGCCTGCTAGTCATACTTTGAATTGATGTAGAGATGTTTGATTTTAATTCTAATTCCTAACATCCGGAAACTATTTTTCGTGACAGTGACCTTGATCCAGGGGGTCAAAATGCAACTCGATCTCTTCATAAGCTTGATTATAATACCTCATACCTAACTCTTGTTATTGTCCAGAAATTTCTTTTTGTTTATTTCAAGTAGCAGTACCCTTGGCCTAGAGCCTAGCTAGATCTCTTCATAAAATTGCTATATGCAAAAATTATTTCGAACTCTTGTCATTCTCCAAAAAGAATTATATTTTTAGTAACATTGACACTGATCTTGAAGCCATTGGGTTTTAGGCTTGCAACAAGCCAAGTTCTATAACAATATCTTAATTTTTACTCTAGTCAATAAAAATAAAATAGAAGCTCACACAGCCTAAGGTTATGCTACACCCAAAAAAGCATCATTATATGACTACAAATCAACATGCCTAATTGTAGGGAACGTACAAAGTGTTAATGTTGATTTAATTACAAAATATTAAATTCTGACATTAAGTTGTGCGAGTTTCTTTTTTGATAGCTGATTTGAATGCTGGTTAAAGTTTAAGTTTTCTGATATGAAACATTGTGAAAATCTTAAGTATGTTAATTGCCAAGAACTTCTATGTTTGATAAAATTGATAATAGTTTTAATGATTTACTTATGTTAAACTTTTTGAATACTTATCAACTTTTTAAAAAAAACTTTTCTAAAATCGCTACATTCTATAGCTTTCCATATTTATCAAACAGAAATATTAGAATTAACAAGATTGCTGCGCAATCATCATAAACAAACGAAAATTATGTTGATATATGTTAAACTGTTGTATTAGAAATTACATGAATGAAATATGTAAGAGCACTTAAAGATAACAGATAAATTTACGACATACAGCATACATAAGTGTCGCGATAGCTCAGTTGGTTAGACCACTGGTTGTCACTCCTGAGGTCCCGGGTTCGATCCTGGGTAACACCCTTGGAATTTTTCAGAGACACTGTCAGTGTTTCCCACCTACATAGAGGTGTACTGGTAAGAAATCTAGGTACTCCTCGCATGTATCAGTGCTATACACTGGGCATATAAAAGAACCAAGGGGTCTATTCCATAAGATTCCCTTGTATCTCAAAAGATTTCTCTAAAGTGATTAATCTAAAGTCATGTCTACGTCCCCGTGAGGTGTTTGACATTAATGGATGATAGATACTGTGTAATGGTTTCCTTCTTAAAAAAGAAAAAAATAAGAATCCCTAAAGAAAGGTCAAAACAGCAAAGTTGAAAATGTTGCAGGCTCGGTTTGACTGAGTCTTATAACTTTAAAAATAAAATAAACAAACGACAATAATAACAACCTGGACACTTCCAAGAAGTCTTTGTGTGCTCTCTTGCCATTTGCTTGTACATGTACAGTGACAACACCTTATCGGCTCTTGACCTTCATTCTTTTTTATGGTTCCGTCAATGTCTACAACAAAAAAGAACAGCGTATGATTTCCATTGTAAACATTGATAAAAATTTCATATAACAGAAACCGATCAAATCTTAAACCTCTAACATAAAAAGATGTTCTGATTACACATCCTTTCTTGTTGCAGATTTGCCTAAATTCAATTCCAATACAATTACAATTAACAGTTTGTCTATACCGCGAAATGTCTCATACGGCTAAAGTATTCCTATGATGCATTTTTGTTTCAGATTTACATCGCTTTATTCGAGTGATTATTTTTTTTTTTAAATTAAAGGAAACAATATCAAAATGACATAGCAGAAAGCTGAGATTTTAATTGCCTGCGGGTATAATTACACCTTTAGATTCGGTAAGTTAATCTTTCTGCATTTTATATTGAAAACAAGAGCTCTGCTGGAGCGGGAATGGAACATTTACAAGAGGTTACAGAGCGGTAGCAAATTTATTGTTGCAGTGACTATTTTTATGCATACTGAGTTTCGTTGTCTTTTCAAAAAGGTAACAGCACTCATGAAGAACAAGCGCATAAAACTTTGTTTTATATACCTCTTACGCTAACATTATCCTTTATTTCATAGTAAAGTTTGTCTACCAGAGCCATTTGAGTTTGTACACTATGGCTGATACCTTCAACAGCTTTTCCATGCTCTTTAAGGAACCTCTGAAAAGTATGTATTTAGATAGCTTATAATGTAAGTAAAATTTTTAATTTTCCAAAATCACGAAAATTATTATCATAGGACTCTCTAGCATAACTTTCTTACATCCTTAATAGCCACTTTTAAGAACTGAAAAAACTTACTTCATAGTTGAGGCGCATTTCGTTAATGTCAATTGTATCAAGAGGGCAATGCCTGCCCTAGATCGCTCATCTGAGATACATGGCAAGAAAATGTCACAATATCTATTTTTAAATTGTAAAGTCAGTAATGAGGTCACATTATGGTTGTCATTTTTTTTTAAACCAAGTCGTATGATTCTCGGTCATTCTCACCCCGTAAAATGTCATGTTGTAAGGATGAATAGGTGATGAAATGGCTTCCATATCGGACTGTAATGAAATACAAAACATATATAACAGACAATTATAACACAGTCAAGTAATTGTCCAACAATATTGACCTGGCACTTCATTAACCTTCGAAAAGGTCATTGGATAAACACTTGTATCTAACGAATATATCAATATATTTGTGAACTTAACACGCCAGTGAAGTGTGGTGTTTTGATACAGATGCCAGGCTACCGATCTATAGGTCTCTGGATCGATTCCTAACCAACACCACGTGATGAAGATACATCAAACGGTCATTTTTGTGACGAATACTCCACCGCCGCTGCTATGGATCCACATGCTGTGGATCCTTCGCAGCGGCGGTGGAGTATTCGTCACAGAAGCGTGATATGGCCAGTGCGGTGGGTATAAACCGTTTAATTATAGTGAATCGGTGTTTTGAACAGAAATCAAAATACAACTTTGTTTACATTTTAGAACATTTACGTTACATAAATTGCATATTCAGCGCCATACTATTTTCACTTACAAAACATTCAGAATTAACACATGTATGACACAAAGTCATGTAAAAAAAATAAAAAAATATAGAATTCTGAGGCATAGTGATTATGTACATGTAGTTGGTCATAAATATTTAATTATTAATAACTTCAAAAACGTTTGAAATAATACTCACATCGATAGACTTTATTTGACGTTGTCGCTCCAACTCTTCTTTATCTTCTTCCGCTTTCGAACTATTCTTATTTCCCATTCTTTACTGTATAAAAAGATCTAACTTTTATTACAAACTTTCCTGTATTGTTATTTGTCTCTCGATTATTGTACAGGTATTATTCGCGCTAATAATTAGATAGACAATCTTCCACTGATACCGTCTTGCCAATACAGGAATTCCAACTTTCGATTTCAATAGTAAAGTTCAGTGTAGGTAATGTATGCGACGTAGTTGTAGATCAATAGCCGGCGGCTAAACTTATACTACGGGTAAACAATACACACTGTTTTCATTGTTTAAATGGATTTACATGTGCATGTTCCATTTTATGCATTTTATGACCTTGGAGTAGTTTAATATTTATTCAAATAAATACCTTAATAAAAGAATTATTACTGTAAACAATACCTTTACAATTTAAACTTTTATTACGCGCAAGCTAAAATATGTGTTTTTTCTTTTCTATTTTTAGAAAACGAAAGTAGAATTCCCCTAAAATTAAATACTTTTCGTAGAATTTACGTTCTCATCCGGTGTATATAATGAAGTAAATAATCAAATACAAGGTAAGATTATATATATATATTATCTTTAGATGTTTCATGTTAAATATAAAACTAATATCATTACATTTCAGGTATATAATTAATTTTATCAAGTTAACTATCTATCTATTAAACACAGTGAGTTGTTATCTTGATACGGTAGTTAGAATTTTGTATTTAATTTTATGCTAGAGATAACATACTGATTATTAGATAGCTTTTTATATTCAAATATATATCATTCTATAAGTAAAATATGAAATCACCGGGGCAAAAGCGGTGTCCGTTTTTAAATCAATGCGTGTGGTCGAGGGATTAGAGTCGATGACTTCTTATCCAGTTACCTCTCTGGCGTTAGTTCGATCCCCGGGAGATGCTTTGGTAGTTTAGCACTAGTACTGGTGTAACTCTCCAGGAACGATGGTTAGGAAACAATCCGCCTATATGCCTGAAATACTGTTGGGAAAAGGCGTAAAATGAAACAAACAAACAAACAAACAAACATTGGAAGAGGGGATCATCTGAGTGTAGATCTTTACAGGCGTTTTTTAATTGAAAAAAAAGACAAATTCCCTGTCATTCCCCGAGCGTCGCAGTCGTGCATTTCTATGATAGGGAATGTTGTTGTTCTATATGATACTTTTATTCATTTTTTGTTGCTGTTGTTGTTGTTTTCTAGTGCGTTTGTCCGTTTGGTGCATATACATGTCAGAAAATTCACCAAAAACTTTATTTGACCAGCTGATGTGTGTAAAACATATTTTCTGCCCTGCAGAAGTTATTGATAGTTAAAGTAATATATTCTAAATGCTAGCCTTTATTTCTGAAGAGAGAGACATATTTTCTTATGAGAAGGAAAATAGTTTACTCATAATGAAAGAGAAAATTGTTGCACTCATAACAGGAGAGAAAAGTAATATACCCATAATGAAAAGGGAAAACTATTTTAATCATAGTGAAAGAGGGTAGTATTATAGTCAGGGTGTTACTATTGTATTCGTGAGGGGATGTATCAGAATTCTACTCAATAATGGGAGGTAAAACTATTATACTTATAGTGTGAGGGTAAAGTATTATACCATTGAGGGGAAGAATTCGGGTAAAAACTTTTACACATGAGGGAAAGGAAAAATATCATACTCATGAGAAAAAGAAGTTTTAAGAATAAAATAATTATATAAGACTACTGTATAATACTAATTTTCATTATTTCTTTTTACATGTTCAGGATATCTCAATGGGCAACACCCAGTGCAGCAGACGACATGTAGAAGGACGTCTGAAAAAATAACATCATTTGATTCCGATATATAACGTCAAGGTAGCTTATTACAATACCTGTATTAAGCGTTGTAATAATTTTAAACAAAAGCCTGGGGTGCGTTTCATAAAGAATCGTAAGTCTAAAACATAAGACTAAAGTAAAGTATGGAATTAGATTGCAATTAAGAGCGTTTCAAGAACTCTTGTACTTAGGATTAGTCCTAACTTTTAACTTAAGATAAAATTTTAGTAATGGAGATAGAAATAATCATTTGCTCTTTATCCTGAAATAAGTCATCGTCATGTGAAATAGTGTAGAATGGCAGATGATTAAATATAATAATGCTGTAAAATTGACATTTATACATTAATATTTCTTATGTATTAGCTTACTTCTAATCTCCTTCATATCATTAATGTTATAATTGTAACCTTGACCATGAACAATTTTTCTACTTTCCTTTAAAATCATTCTTAAAATCATTTCTTGAAAAATATTCTATAGATATTTTACTCAAACGTAAAATATCCTCTTAATATTTATGAGACAAATATCAATTCTGAGTGAAGTATTTTAGAATACTGCTCCTAGTATAAATATACAAACAAACGTCGATAGCGGAGTTATTTATTACAAAGCATTTGAACGATTGACCATACATTATTTTACTGTAACGAAAGAAAAGATAATATCTATTTCCATTCTAACATGGTAATAAAAAAAGATAATCAATAAAAACATGTTGAACATTATTAAGCATAGAAGTAATTTATCTTACGTCATTTGGTTTATATGACGTCATATCTGACTTTATATTATGTGTTATCTTTCCTTGTTCACGCCATGCTTAATTATTTATGTCTAATGCACTTGACTGCTTTATCTGTTTATATAGGGGAATGATCTGAAGCGTGTTTGAATTTTATATATATGTAAATATTAAAAATTATTGAATCTTGAAAATAAAACATACGCCAAACTAAGTCCGAGTCACAATGTCAGTCATATACTATGAGTAGTATGGATTTTCTTTACTAATTAATAAAACCTATCAATACACTGGTTAGCAAAAATGAACATGTTTATTTTAACAGAAGTTTTATTTACCTTAAAAATATTTAATTAAGTCATATGCACGTAACCAATACTAATTATAATTCATATTGAATCAGTGTAATTATAACAAAAAATATTAATATTACAGGTATTAATATCCTTTTCTTCACTTATGCCCTTTATTTTAACATATAGAGAATAAAACAGGAGCTGCAATGTTTTTTCAGCACTTGTTTTGTTTTTATGACTTAAGACAAAAGTAAGGAGTGTCCTGAGGCACCTATAGGAATAGTCCTAAGTTTAGTCTTAAAATTGTACTTAGGACTTTTCTTGAAACGCAGTTTTATCACAGTTTTGCACTTACGACTATAATTGGTCCTAAGATTCTTTATGAAACGCACCCCTGATTTGTTTAATTAAAGCGCAGTATTTATTTTGAATAATTTGCTGCATTTACTCACTATCGAAACAGAAACTGCATTGTGTAGGTGCACGAACATCTAAATGTTACAGATGATAAAATAAAGTTCAACAGGCTATATAATTTGAGCTATATAAAATAGATACTTGGCGAGCATTCAAATGTGATTAATGTAGCTATTAGTAATAGAATGGTATGCCAAATATGCTGATAAGCTAAGTATGCGTTATAATGGTGGGAAACCAGATTTTGAAATTGTGATTTTATAGCGTTAGTTTGAATTTCGGCTTTTTCATGGGCTTATATGTTTCATTCTTGCTTCATGATTTAACAATAAAAAGGTACTTTATCACATCCCCGGTGCATTTTGGCGGCGACGTGGCGTCAGTTGCGTTATACAAACTTATGGTAAAGATGCGATTAATGTTAGCGTTACTCTATAGGCGCGTAGAATATTAAATTCGTGTAAATTCAATACTTACTTAATTGATTAATTTGAATAATTTGATACAACTGGTTAAAAAAAATCAGTATTGAATCTACACTCATTTTATATCCTCTATATCGTTAACATTCATTTCATATTGAAGTTTAAGAGAAAAGTGCAGCCGTTACATACGTGTATATGAATTAATTTAAATATATACAGAATTAATTATTGTATTTGTTTTGTCTTAATGTAATAACAAATTTTTTATTTAATAAACAGAGAAAAAATACCTAAGTGTATAATGTTTTTTCTGCTATTTTGTTATTAATTTCATATTCGTGTACATAGTATATGAAGACACGCACCGATGTATTTAAAGTGTCTATATCCTATAGATATTTAACGTTATTAAATGCATATTTGCAAGTCTTAATTGCAGGCGTTCGTTTCATATTACAATATAGCAACGTCTATTGGACATTCATAATGTTTATATAACTACATGTACTGCAAGTGTATTATAAGTTATATATGGCCCTTTATAATCGGTTGTTTGGAAATATAACCAGAGTCGCTAGGCCATATAGCCTGTCAAAATATCTATCACGAATTTATGATATAGCAAGCATGATTTTTAAAGAAAAAAGTTAGATTTCTTCATAAATTGACAAAAAAAAAAAAAAAAAAAAAAAAAAAAAAAAAAAAAAATTCATAAATTGACAGCAGACGTGTATATAAATCTATAAAAACGTCAGGATTAGACAATGAAAGGACGTTATAACAAGAACTTTTTATATAGATCATAAAAAGCATTATATCACTTGATAGACATTTAAAGTTTTTAAGGCATTTTTGAGCACCGAAGAATCCAGGTCCTTGCGGAATTCGAACCCACAACGATAAGGGGAAGTGATTAACCTTAACACGGTCACGGACGTCCCCGTCATTTTTAAGCAGGTGAATTGTCTGAGTACCACGGCTGTTTGCTATATAATATTAGTCACCAACCGTTTCCACGTGGCCATATAATCTGTCGAAACTTGTTAAAGGCAGTGCTATGTATCACCAATGAAGATACAAAACACATAAGAAACGTTTATACTAAACTGTGAAAGTAGGGGTTAGTTACTAATTATCATGTCATTTTAATTGATGATAAGTTAAATATTTTCTCTTTAAGAGGCATGGAATGGAACAGATGAAAATACAAAACGTATTCTGCAAAGGTTTTAAACGCTTTTTTTTCTTTATAAAAAAATAGCAGATGAAACTTACCTAACCAATAAAAAGCAGTCTGGTGATCAGTGACAACATGGACACTCCCGACGCAAGCCGTTTTACAATTTTACATCTTCCTATTCCCGAGAAGAATTCTGATACATGTGATCAGGACATCAGCAAATGGAGGGTATGTTTGCGACAAGATATCTCAGCTGTTTCTTTGAAAGAATTAAAAGAAATCTATAGGGCAAAGCTTAAAAGAGCCTGGTTCAATTGACAAATTGCGTATTCTTTACAAAGTTAACATGTCTCACAGTTTCTCACTCTTATTTGAGATCTTTTATGAAATGGAATTCAATTTATTTTAAACAACGCGTAGCCATATAAGTAAAAAATTACTCACTGCTATTTTCCATTAAATATATGCGAATATAAATAAATTTCGTTTTTTGTAGGATTTGATCAGTATGGTAGATAATTCCGTGACAAGTATTGCAAATGATCTTGATATGATACATGCTGCTGTCCATACTGCTGTTGAAAAAGGTGAAGATCACAGTCAAAGTAACTTATGTTCTATTTAAATTTTATTACATGAATTATTTGTTTTACATATGCTGTATGTCCATGTTTCCGTCTCAACTTTGTTTCCGTTCATATCTTGTCATTTATTGATGAACTTAAGAATATTTGTTATAGATGTGTAGTCCATTGTGAAAATGTGTCACGGCCATGATTAAGGTCTGTAGCTCAAAAGTCAATGTCACGCTTTTAATTCGAATAAATGGTTTCATTAAAATGCACTGATGTACGTGTCCGGTCAATACTTCTGTCTTTTTTTTTTGGAAGGTTTAAAAATACTAGGCATTGATATATTAAAGGTTATGAATTTTTATAAAAGTGCACCGATGTTCGTGTCTGGTCAACTATTCTGACACTCCTTGGTGACTTAAGGAGCTAGATATATAGTTCCTAGTTCAAAGGTCTATGTCACGTCACACGTGTAGATCTAAAGTCGTGACATGATATTTTATAGAAGTGTACTGGTGTTCGTGTACGGTCATCAATTCTGTCAGTCCTAGGTGAATTTTAAAGTTCTTATTTATAAATCATGTGTTGGACGTAACGACAACGTGTCGCGAGCAAAAATCAGGTCTAAATTTCAAAGGTTACGGTCACACTTGCATTCCATAGCGATGCTTGGAATTGTTTTAAAGATAACTGATGCTTGTGTCCAGTCAAAATTCTGTCATTTCTGAATTAATTTCTGAATACATGTAACTTGGCAAAAATATAAAAAGACATAATAATGACGTGTCTTGCATACGAGTCAGGTCTCCAGTTCATAAATAAAAGTCACACTTGTATGTCAAACATCATGAATGTGAATATATGATCATCTTTGTGACAAAATTTGTAATACCTAAGATAAACTTGAAATCAATTTTTGACAAGTGACGAGTAAGAACAGGTTTGTAGCTTAAAGATCAATCTCACACTAAGACTTTCAATGTAAGTTTCATAAAAGTACATTGATGGTCCTATCCAGTTAACATTTCTTTCACAATAACTAAGCATACTTTTTAAGCACATAAGGAAAACTTGTCACATTCAACTGCCAGGTTGACAGTTTGAATGTGAAGCTTATACTGGGGTGCCAAACAAGAACATTGCTGGTTGTGTCTGATCATCTTTGTTATTCGTTCATGGGTGTTTTTTTGAAATAATAAAGGTCAAAATTTGTTTATGTTTCTGTTTTTATACAACCTTTTCCTAGTTATGATGCCTGTGTTGTAAGGTAAATGACCATTCTATTATAAGTTAAGTTCAGGTTACGATTAGTGTTGGGAATCGGAAGACAAACTCATAATCGATTAATCGGAACAATCGGACAGGCTCTCCGATCAATTAATCGGAATAATCGGACTGAATGTTTTCCAGCATAACTAACTAGAAGATAGAAATCATTATAACTTTTATTTAATATAAATTAATGTTTTATCTAATTGTCTGTTTAACGTATTACAAAATACAAATTCTTCAGTCAGGGCACAGTTTACATACATGTAATGATTTTCATATTCATATTCAGAAAAATCAATGTGTCCCTATTGCCAGCATTTACTTATTTAATCAAAAATAAAGTTTTTATTTAAGTGCCTATTTCACAATCGAGCTTAAATAAATATGGTTAAACTAAGGAAATTTTGAGATTCAGGGTTCCCATTCCTGTGGGAACTATTCATGGTCATATAAATTGTAATAAATTATTAACTGCTACCAATAATTGATAAAATGTATCTATGTGATTAATAAATTAATTTAATATGCATGATCAGGAATAAAAATGTAAGTTACCATTTCACATAAAAAAATTAATTATTTTATTTCATTTTTAATAACAGAATCGCCGTACCATAAACGGTGTCATGGTAAATATAAGTTTAGAAGCCTTAAAAATTTATTATTTAACATTATAAATGGACAGAGTAACAAAGATTGTTACAGTAAAATACAGTATCAGAATCCGATTTTAATTTAAACGGGTGGGGTACCTTTATTTGCATATTCTTAACCACAAAGCTTGCACACAACTTTAGCCATGTCCAAGTTATCACGGGTAGCGCATCCTTCAATATTCAGCTTGTGGAAACCAAAATGATTCCATACATTTGATGATGTTTTCGTGAAGATTGAAGAGTATTCAAATTAAATAGCGCAAACCACAAAGGAACAAAAATTAATACTAAGCGACAATCGATTCTGTTCGACCATAATCGATGTCGGCGACATTATCAACATACCGATCTATAATCGGATAGCGGCGACAATCGGACCATCACTAGTTACGATATTAACATTTTTTGGTAGTTAAGCTTATGTGTTTTCAATATAAAGGATATGGTCAATTTCATACTTCACGCATACTTTGCATGATAAAAAATTACTTGTCCAAACAGGATTAAAATAACCAAAGAATACAACAATGGGAAGTTTACGTAACTAGAAAATGCTATTAAAAAACCATGTTCCCCTTATTGTAATTGAATGATTTAAATATATTTCATTTTCTTTCAAGATGAATCAGACAAAAAAGTATCGGATGAAACACAGCCTTTACGAAATCTACTTATGTGCTTGGAGGTATGTATTCATCTTTCATCTTTATCAAAGCTTTTTAAATTGAGTTTCTATTCGTTTCAATCCAATTGAGTCACATGTTCAAAATTCGTAAATGTCTGAACTACTTGTTTTTGTTTCAGAGGACGGTTTTGCATCATAAAAGCTTTTCTATAGCGACTGTCAATAAATGTCTGCAAATTGTGATCAACACGATAGCTCAAGTTAGCGGGTCTTCGGTTGAAAAGTTTGAACCACTATCGCTTGATACAATTTATAAACAATCACGAGCAAACGAAAGTTATCAAGGTTTACAGAACTGTGAATTAGAAAACTTTAAGCGGGATAATAGTGAATTACAGTTAGAGGTCAGTAGGTTACACAAAGAAATGTCTATCATTGAAAAGAAAAAGGAGGGATTTGAGGATGAAAATTTCAATTTGAGGAAAAAAATAAAGGTACTCGAACAGTATAACGAGGATTTACAGAACAGGAGTGATATATCTGAAAAAAGTATATCAGACTTGAAAGCTGAACTTTCAAACGTTCGTGTTGAAAACAAATATTCATCCTCAAACAAAGATAAAATCGAACGTTTAGTAAAAGAAAATAAAGAATTAACTGACAGATGTATAATGTTACGTAAAGAATTTGACGAAAAAATAATGGAAAGAGCTAATGCATATCAGAAAGACATAGATGACTTAAGAATGGAAAGTGATCTTTCGACGAGTTCTGTCAAGGACAAAGAAGAGGAAATCACACATTTGCAACAATATAATGAAAGGCTTTTAAAGGAGAATGCAGAGAAAACAAAAGAAATTGAAAGTAATAAAAAGGAGATGCAAAATTTGGGAACAGACAAAAATGATCTGGAGACGAAAGTCAAGCAATTGTCTTCTCAGTATAAAGATGTGGAGTCTAATTCGAACATGGAAAAAGAAAATGATCGGCGGAAATATGAAGTCACAATAAACGACTTAAAGGCGCGGATTGAAGAGAGCAACAGGCTTGTTGTAGATCTTAAAGATTTGAAAAGGAAATATGAAAATCTCAAGCAAAAGCATGATGATGTCAAACAAAAATTACAAAGGACAAACGAAGAGGAAAAAATACTCCAGGCAAAACTAAAGGACCTCGCAGGCTTTGAATCAAAATGCCAAGAAATAAGAAAACAAAATATCAATCTCGAAGAACAAGTCAGATACCTTACAAAAGATAAGAACACACTTCAAAATAAATTTGAAAAAGAAAAACAACAACATGAATTTGAAGCTGAAAAAAGGAAACAACTATCAAACGAAATTAGATCTTTAAGAACAGAAAATGAAAAAATGCAGGCAAATATAGTCAATGCTTCAGAACAAATGCAATTTCTGACAAACGAAAACAGTCGTCTGATTAAGGAAAATTGCGACCTTGATGAGGAACTTAAGATGTACAAATGCAAAAAACTTGTTAAAGGTAAAATGATAATTCAAGTTGGTATTGATTATATACATGTATTTTATATCAGATTAGGGTTAAATTCCATTTTCAGCAATGTTTTAATAGTAATATAGGCTATATGTTTGACTTGTAAAAATTAAGCAAGTAGTGTATGAAACGTTTTGGTATTGATATTGACAATACTATCTTTTTACCACAGTGCAGTTATATTATCAACGAAGAGGAGAGCTTATTACAACTGTTGAAGAAGAATTAACACGCATTTTGAAACAGAGGATAGAGTCAACAGGCAGATTTGAAATAGAATTCCTCAAATGCATGACTGCATCAGAAGTGGTTCCAGATTTGCCATTATTGCTTCTTTGCATATGCGCTTCAAGAATTGGTACGGATGCCGCAAATACAATTCAAGGATTAAGATGTATGTAATAAATCTTTTAAATTATTGAATAATACGTTGTTTAAATGTATTTGAATTCAAATGTCCAAATAGATTAAACTTCAGTTGTATGTATATACAAAGCACAGTCTGACATTGTTTTATTGATGCATAATGAATTTGAATGTATGACTTAGCTACGTATTGGAAAGTTTGTAATGGAACAATCTATGCTAATTCTTTTGACTAATATTTTTCTATTTTATTTCAGTAACACCCAAGGTATCGTTACTTATCTTCCATCATAAGGATATACACGCTTTACCAAGCCAAGCCAGCTATCAAGTTTTGACTGGAGGGGAATATAAAACTATGAGTGGAATATTTGACTTGGCTTTCTTGTCAGGAAAAGGAATTTACAGTTGTCCTTTGAATGACACTAGTATTGCCAAGATAATTACTTTTATCAATACGGAATATGTTCAAAGTTCCAGTGAGGGATTGTCTCGATGACTGAAATAAACGTTTTCCTCTTTGTAATGTATTTAGTGTATTTATTTCAAGTGTCAGAAAGGTTTTTTTTAATATACATATATTTTGATGCATATCATAACGCTTCCAGTGCAATAAGGGAGTGTGTTTGTTTTTGTTTGTTTTTGTTTTGTTTTTTATGATTTTTTTTGTACTTTTTATTATGCCCCTCCCCCCCCCCCGAAGGATGAGCATATACTCGCCGCTTTGTCCGTCCGTCCGTCCGTTTTTCTTGTCCAGGACATAGAAGTGCACTGCAAAAGAATCATAACTCTGCCTTGCCTAATTTTGTTTATTGCCATTTTTTCACTTTTCATATTTACACTTTGAACGTTGTCCAGGACATATCCCCGACACTGTTAGAGATATGAACAAGAAACTTTGTAGATAGATAGATCTCATTAGGTAAATAAGCAGTGGAAAGAATAGTAACTTTGTCTTGTCTAAGTATGGAATTATTGCACTTTGAACTTTGTCCGGGTCATAACTCTGAAACTACAAGAAGTATACTTTTCTGTGTCCAAGCATCACCTGGTTCATCCGGTTCTTGTTGTTTTAGTTGTTGTTTTCGTTTTGATTGAACAAAATGTGCAAAATGCTTTCTAGTTTGGATTATAGTGCGATATTTTTATTGGACTTTTAAGAAATATATATGTTAGATCTGCTATGTTTGGTGTTGTTTATTCATCCTTTTCCATTTCTTTTTTAAATTATGTTTTACACGACGACTATTAAAATTATTAACTTATGGAATAAATGTTTATTTGATAATTATTGGAAACATTTCTTAACCTTATGCAGTTATTTAAATGACACGTTTTACATAAATAAAAAACGCCTCCACTTCAAAATTGTGGTTTACGGTAAACCGAGCGGATAGAGCGGAAAGCCGATTCAAACGGCTTATTGTAAATATTGTTTATTTTCTTGTTTTGTTATCATTTAAGTTGTATTTTTTTCGAAAAACGGAAAATGTAGTTCCGTGTAGGATTAATTTTGGGCTTCGAGTGATCTAAGCTGTTACAAAACAAATTATATGAAACCCGGGAGAACTTTCTCCCTGACGAAGCGAACGACGATTTGTAGAATATTGTACTTCCCAACCTTTGAAATGCCATTATCGGATTTCTTGAAAAAGTGTGTTAGAAAAATATGAACCCGTAATAAGAACTTGTCCTTCGTGCAAGGTGGATTTCATAAAATTGTAAATCAATATTTTTCGAAAGTAGTGGAACCAAAGTGCAAGAGATGGAGCGAAAGGGTCGATGTTGAGCGCAAGGCGATATTAATTTGACGTATAAGGAGGAGCGTAGTCTGAATTTTTATATATAAAAGTTACAGAAGTTAAACAAGACGTGATCAAGTGTTGAGACCGACACGGTTATACGGTTATGTTTATTTAAAAACTTGTGTCCGTGCAAATTCGACAAATCGAATATTTTCAGTTCTACAGCAAACAAATGTTTACCAGCAGGTACGTGTAACGCGATTGTTCCCGCCAAAATGTTATGTTTTTCGAAAAAGTAGATATTCGCGGTGCAGAACAGAGACAAAATTATGCAATACACGGGGCAATGAAATTAAATGTATCACTACTACCGAGTTCATCTTACTATGACTTTCTGTAATAATTAACTCTAACGTACATGTTCAGGTCAAACACAAATAAGCCACGTTTTCATGAAATTGTAAGACAGTGTCAGTCGTTATAAGAATATAACATGTGTTTCAGTTATGTTTCAAGATAATTCTTCCCTTATTTAGCATTGTTGTTTAGTTTATTATTTTCCTCTCAAAGTGTTTATAGAAATGTTAACTTTTATAATAAAACACTACAGTACAAATCTTGGTTTAAGAAAAATTAAGTTAAAAAACTATCTGTAAAATGTTGTTTCTTAATTTATTCACAGAGAATCTATGAACAAAACGAATGTAATAAAAAAGGCAGTGCTCAGTGGGTTACGGACTAAAATTATCAATAATTCATAGACCTAGCTATAGTAGAAATACAATAATATATTATCATATTTCTCCGGCTTCACATTTTGGTACGTCTATTTTAGCTTTGAAATATTTTATTTATAGAAAATTCTTAGACTACGCTCTTTACGCCAATTTACTGTGTAAGTACTTATTTTGGCGGGGGTTTATATTTGGCTATATTGGCGGTCAGGGTCAGTAGCGCCAATTCAAAACACCGCCAATTTAAAGCACCGCCATTTTAGATCATCGCCATTATTCTTTGAAAGGTAGACAACTCATGGTAAAATAGCTTTGGTTTGTCCGAGTAATCTCCCTTGATTATTTGTAATAAAAATAAACATTACAAGTAAGCTGAAAAGAATTTGTTTATTTTTAAGTCTTGGTACGAAACTCATTTAATTATATATCCATATACTGTATTTATTACGAAGATGATCACACGACGAGAAACAAATCTAAATGTCATATAAAAATCAGATATGGAATCATGTTACACTTTGTACATTTAATTACTTTGTATTATATTTGTGATATCAGCTCAACAAATTGCTCGTGCTAATGTTATTCCTATTCATTTGAGAAACATCTCTCTAATCACGATACAAATAAATACAAAAATAGTTCATGTTTTTATTAAAATCGTTCAGAATTAGCACGATGTAAAGATAAAGGTGACCAAGCATAGGTATACCGTATGCCGTAAAATAAACGAGGACAGTCAACTACTGCGTGACCGGTGTTATTTTTATTTATTTTTTTATTCTTTATTTGTAATCGCCAATTCATGACCCCATATTTATGCCAACAAGTGTTTTAATTTGGCGGTCTAAAAGCGTTTGCGCCAATTTATGACCCCGCCAATTCAAAACACTTTAAAAAACGCCAACATTTGACACCGCAGATATAATGCGCTATACAGTAATATCGCCTTGCGCCCAACAACCGACCTTTCGCTCCATCTCTTGACCTTTGGCTCCACCACTTTCGAAAAAAATCTATATACAAATTTAAGAAATCAACCAAGAGTAGTTTAATTTGCACGAATGACTAGCTCTTGTTACGGGTTGATATTTTTCTAAAAACACATTTTAAAGGAATCCGAAGTGTAAAGCGTTTCCATAGTTGGAAGTTTCATATATAACAAATCGTCGTTCGCTTCGTCAGGGAGAAAAGTTCTACCGGGCTTAATATTATACTCTTTTTGTAACAGCTTAGATCATTGGAAGCCTAAATCAATCCTTCACGGAACTACATTGATCGATTTTTGAAAAAATACAACTTGAATGAATTACAAGACAAAAACATAAACAAAACTTACAATTAGCCGTTTAAATCGGCCTTCCGCTCTATCTCGGAAATGCCGTTCGCTGGTTTGACCGTACAACACAATTATGAAGTGGAGCGACAGTTTGCCGGACGTGAAACAAGAGTGCTATGATGGCCCTGATATCGCTCACCTGATTAAAAATATTTTTAGTGACAAGGAACAAGTAATATTGTATGTAACCTGTAAATGATAATCAGCAAATATAAACTTACATCACAAAGTTCATCTTTGTATCTGCAATAATGCACGTGTTATAATCATTATGTAATTTAACATGTGTTACAGTATGAAATCGGCCGATTCGTAATATGAAAAGATAAATAAGCCAGAAAAAAAATAAGTTTAAATAATGTCATTTTTATAATTAGTGAATATAGATTTGATTGTTGAAAAATTATACATGTATATAAGTATTGTTTACAGTAAAAGCGTTCAGAATAAGACACAACGGCTCAACACATCCCGATTAAACGTACAAATAAAGCCCGCACCTTGCAATCCGCAGTTTCGATAAGCGGAGTTCAGTTTCAGATATAATGCCAGTCTTCCTATTGAAAGCGGCCCTTTTATGTGAACCTACATACTGGTGTGGTTCGCTATTACTATAAATCATAAAACAAGAACAAAGCTGAACAACATATTTGTTGAACAGCATATTAATCGATTTGACTGTCACACTGTCAGTTGTGTGATCCTTAAAAGGATGATTGAAAGTATTCTTAAGGAAAAAAAGACACAAAATACAAATAATTATATACTCTTTAATGCTGTAGATATAAATGACAGTGAAAATGCAAAAGAAACTAAATAAAATGAGGTGCATGTACAAATCAACCACTTTAATTGGCTTTCGAGAAAATCTTTATTGTAAAAGTTTTCGCCCTTGATCATGTATGTAAATGTTCTGAATGATAAGCACCAGCAGAGTGAAGGGTTACCATAAGAATAAAATTTACCTTGGGTGACACCTTTCCCCACAATTACACTTCACCTGATACTGCAATGGCGTTCGATGGATTACGTTTAAATCTAACTAATACATTCGCGGAAACATAGCACTTCAGTAATGTACAACAATAACCGATGTGAAAACGTTTATATAATCAACTGTTGGTCATATTATAATGTAAAGTGTTTTTTTCTCTTACGAATTCCTTTCACATATGTAATAATTACAATTTAATAATTTGCGTGCGATAGCTCATGAAAAGCTTCATTTGAGATATTTTTAAGTGAATGGAGACAATTGAGATTACGACCAACTAACGATTATAGAATAGGCTAAAACATGCTTTCATTTTGATAACAAAAGTGATATCAGAAATTAGATGCTTAAAACTAAATGGATAATCAAGCAAGCGTCTAATAAGTGGAAGCAAGTTAACATCATTAAAACTCGTTTGAACCGAACGTGTCTATAATAGATTTCCTGGGACCTTCCTTTTCAACGAAATGTTTTAGTCCTTGACAACTTTTCTCGTTCATGTCACATTCAAATATTCCTCTGCTATATTCATATGTTATATCAAAAATTCCACCGAGTTTTTTATATCTGTTGTTTAAAAGAACTTCTTTACTTTTTGTTATAATTGACCACTTTTGGTCCCTGTGCATAACAACCAGTGCAACTTTGTGTGGTTCTGTGAAACCTAAGAAGAAAAAAAATATTTTCGTTTAACAGCTTTAGAAAGTCATGATGTATACTTGTATGAGAATGAAATAAATTTTAGAGTTGCACGAGAACTTGTTATTTCTTATTTGCAATAATCTGTCATTAATAAATGACAAAACTATATTGCAGTTCTAAAACATACTCTTCGTTTAACATTCACCAGCACTTATATCCACTCTTTCATATAACTTTCAAATGTCTATAATATGTCTTCAAGCGCAACACCGACTTTACTTACCGTCAATTTTATCCAAAGCACTTGCAGCAGAAAAACTGACACTTGGTGATGGATTAAAGAAAAGCAGAACAGGAATATCTGGTTTAATTAGGTTCAAATCTTTGCCGATGTTCAGCGTGATCACGTGTAACTTGTAAGATGTGGAAGTTTCAAGTGCACTCTTGATCTGATTCAAAACATCGTTGACAGGGGTTGCAGAAGTTGCATCGTTACAGATTTGAACTGAAAATAATGAAACAATTTAGCAATCTTATAATTCTTACGTCGACGGTAACGCTGTTTTATTTCACAAATCAGCTGCTAATGAATGTTGCACTTGCCGCTTAATGTCCTACCATTGCCCCTCAACGTCACAACAGCCGCTTGCTGTTGCAACATATTTTGCCGCCAAGTAAGGCAACTACACCGAGTATACAATTAAATAATGCACGTTTTATACATGTTTCATTTCATGCGTTCCATCATTTCAGAATACTTATCTGCAAATTCTTACATTTAATTTAATGGCAACAGAATTGGGACTAATTCTTGCAATTTTATGATTAACTCACTTAACAATAGATTTTATTAATGAATATCAATTTTCAGATAAAAACGGGATAAAGTTATTTTCCCTATATGCTCCCACTCGGACTTCCAAACAAAATTTATCCCGTTTTTAGGCTTTAAACGTTGTTTCTTATATCAAATCTAAAGCCAACCTTTAGTGTACTACATTTTTTTGATGTTCTAACGATTTCTTAGAAAAAAAATAATATCTTCGAGTCTTAAGAAACACTGCGACTGGGAGCATTTTGCAGGTGCGCAATGACGTAGTAACCTACAAGTGTTGATCTACAGATTGTTTTAAATTAAGTAATACAATTACCGTGAATATATAGCTTTCTCTTATACCAGCCTAATTCTGTTTCCATGTGTTTGTTCTCGATTTTTAGATTGTCAAGCTCATTTTTCACTGCTTTCAATTCGTTAATCTTTGTTTCATTTTCAACACCATCTAACTGCTTGCTCGAAAGGTCTGTCTCGTAAGTTTCTGACTGGATCTTACAGGTCGGTTCTCTGCATACTCTGTTTTCTACAGAATGGTCTTGAAGCATTTTCTGAAGCGTTTTGTATTCCGTTTCTAGTTGTTTATATTTCTGCTCAATTCGCTCTCTTTCTTCCCTCGCGGTATTCAGATCCTCTAAGGTACGTTTTCCTCTCTGTTCTAAATTATATATATCTTTAATATTTTTTTCGTTTAACTCTCTGGCCAGTTTGACTTCTTTTCGGAGACTTTCTATCATCCAATCATTGAATGTCCTTTTATCGGTTAAGGTGTTTTCATCATTGCCCTTATTTGATAAGTACATATTTAAAGACAGTACTGTGTCATCATCCTGTGAATCGGTAATCATTTCTTTCCAAGCATCAATAAGGCAGTTCAACAGCCTTCCAAGTGAATCCAATGCAGTTTTCCTCTGATTAAACACACTTCCCTAAAATAAATTATACATGATTTACTTACAATACATCTATGAATGCGATTTACACAGATATTAAAAAATCTTCTTGAACCGAAGTTAAGGATATTTATTAATGCTTCACTTTCTTATTTTCAATCAAAACTAAGCAAATATCTTTTGATGTGAATTTATAATCGAAACTTACTTCAATAGTTTTTAACAGATTCACTGCCAGCTTCTCATCAGTCACAATGTCTTTCAAATCTGATAAACAAACATGATTGATCTTAAAAAAACATTAGAACAAGAAAAAACATTCATTTAAAATTGTTTTACTCTGTTATGCAGTTTTCAATTTGCAATGCATTTGAAAACATAAAGTTATATATAATGAATTGTCTCTGTTGTGTTTCCTATCGTTTATTTATTTTAGGGGTGAAATCGTGTAATTGAAGAACTAAAGGTTTGATAGGAAAAAAGTTAATTATTATATACATATCTAGATTACAAAACTCTTTCGAGACTTCATGATTGAGTAACATACTACCTGTGCACTTGTCTAATTTTTCCAAATTATCGTGTATTTTATCACATTGGCGAAACAACTGCTCACAGGCTGGTTTCATGCAATCAAGGGAACTAACAAACCCGCACATTGTATCATCCACATTGCGTATTTTCTCCTAAAGAAAAGAACTAAAATTTTATTCGTAGCTTCTGTTTAAAATATCACACGTGTTTTATTTCAAACAAATTATAAAGAATTATTATTGAAACAGAGGAGCGTCCGTTATTGAATGGTTATGGTCGTTGTCGTAAACAACCTTCGCCTAACCGTTGTATGTTCGAACCTCGCCAGGGTAAAGGAGCCATTCGACTAGCTTATGGAACGCCGGTGGTGTTACTTAAGTGTTCGTTCGGCCCTGAAATACTCTTTCTCCACCAATAAAGATGGAAATTCACCATAATATTATGACCCAATAATAATACTAAATAAATAACCCTAAAACTGCTGCAATGAATTCAGCAGTCGATCACATTTAAATATAATAAGTTAATAAGTATTTTGTAAATGATATATAAATATAAAATTCTGTGTAAATTAAGTAACGCAAAACAGATTCCTATCTTCATTTAGAAAGTCAACTCCATGTTTATGTTTTTTTTGCAATATAGATTTTGTAGAGCTAACACTTCACCTGTAACTCTTGAATCTTCTCTGTTGAAATATTATAAGATTTGCCTCTCTTTACATCTGTTGCAACGGTATTTCCCATTATTCAGGCCTGCTTGAACGAAATGTATAAAATAAAATTATAATAATATTAATTTTTTTTTGAAAATTGGCAGTATGTATCAGGGAGTGGCTGATCTGTTTGACTCCAATGATAATAGATGTCCCTATGATTTTGTCTCACGAAAAATCTATAACACGTAAAATCATTTTTACAATATGTACCAGATTCAACAATATCTCTTATTTAATTTTACATTGTCATACTTTAATAAAATAATCATATGACGATGATAACAATGATTATAAAAATGATATTTTTAAGTTAAATATAGTGATAACAAAGTACTATCACCTACCTTTGTTGTATGATAACGGACGAGTATGGTTTCTGTTTCAAATGGGGATTCCTACTTTCGTTTTCATATTGTGGGTCAAATTTAGTGTTATTAACATTCTCCAACGATGCGTCATTGTTTACATTAGAGATAACTGTGCAATACAGGGAAACGTCCAAAACATGAACACTTGTACGACCGGTCGATAAAAAAGGTTTTACTTAATTAAATAGTGTTGCGATCATTTTATGTTAAGTCAACTGATCAAAGTTCTATAGCGGTTTAACTCCTATTTTTATACGCCTATATATTTAAATAGACAATATTCATGTTAATAAATTATTTTATTTTATGTTTTTCAGTGGATTACTGATTTATCCGTGAAAATTATATTTGATAATTTCACAGTGAAAATCATCAAAATATAATTTCACACTTTTCAATGACGAAACTACTTTTTTAAGATTTTCCCCATGTGGTACCTCAATTTTATTTTTGCTGACAATTCTGACAATGTCAGGCTGTTTTAAGAAAAAGCAAAGCTGAAATTGATAAATAACTTAAATGTCAAAAGTAATAAAAAGAAGAAAACTTACTTCTATTCATTCAAATTTTCGTCTCTAAATTTTTTTGTTTCCTTTTTACAGTCTGAAAAATACATTCCTTCCACATGCAAAACTGCTCTTGATGACATTTGGGCATTTTAAAGTATCCTACAAGCAATAACTGCCGTAAGCTTGATGAAAAATTGAAAAGCAATGACAGCCATCAGCTCGTAGAATAAGTAAAACAACCCAGCGTTCCTAAGCCAGCTTCCAAGTTTCCATTTTCCTAGCTGCTTTTTTAATGTTTTACATCTGTCAACACTTATTTTTTGTCTGTTACAATCCTCAAATAAGTTTTCTTTCTTTTAAAAAGGTGTATGACTAACAAATCCAAATGATATCTCTCTGAATCAACACACAATTATTTTCCTCCCGTGAAATACACAACTTTAAAAAATGACTGCCGTTTACATTTAACAAAGCCAGGTCTAATATAAATTCGCAATAAGTAACAGAAATATGGATGGATGGTTGGACTTTTTCTCCTACAAGAATTGTTTGTTTTTATTATTAAAACAAGCGATCATTCAAATTTTTTAATAAAATAAATAATATCACTGTCATTTAACGTTTATTGTCGGACTTTTATTCAGCTCAAGACTTCTTGTTTTTAATGAGAAATTCCGACTTAATGGGGTTCTCAATGGGGAAAACAGATTTTAATATTAACGTTAATATTATGGAAATTTTGTTTTAACTTGATTTTAAGAATAAAATAAAAAGAAAATTTGTTTGTTTGTTGTGTAAGATGTAATTTTATTTCATCTCGTGAACTTTAAAAACAGTATTCTCACTCGTGGCTACGCCACTCGTGAGAATACTGTTTTTAAAGCCCACTCTATGAAATAAAATTTCATCTTACACACAAACAAACAAACAAACAAATATCCTCTATGTATTTAGGATTTCGCGTTTTTTGTTTTTGTTGTTTTTTCTTTATTAGTGCCTTTTTAGTGCCTTTCAAGCGGAGAAGTGTTTTTCTGACGATGTTTCCCTTTTTTCACCCGCTTTCAGGTATAGTCTACAGCTACTGTAAAAATTTGCCTATTATGCCTATTTTGATATTTTCACTGTGAAATTATCAAAATATAACTTCACCATATACTGAAAAGCATGTCACAAACAGTTTTTATACTACATGACGTATATACCGTTTATACAAAAAAAAGGGGGCCTACAAACTTTATGTTTCTTATTTCCATACTTTAGGATCTGTTAAAGTAGTAAAGAATGAAGCCAAAGCAAACGTAAAATATATATATATATAGGATATTGAATGATTATAAGTCTAATACTGATTTTATTGAACTCGTTGAATAAAATTATATTATGCTCTCTCGAGCATATTCTTTTATTCAACGAGTTCTTTAACTTAAACGAATTTTATATACTATTTATCACAGACCCAAAATAAAAACTGTTTAAAGTAAAATGGAACATTTTCTATTGACCCACCTATAGTATAACGCTAACATTTAGCGCGTCTTTACACTATGTTTGTATAACGCAAATGACGTCAAGTCAAAATACTGTATATATTGTGTATACGGCCATGCAATACCGTTTTTACGGAGTCTCAAAATCGGCACAGGCATGTGATAAAGATTTTTATTACATGCTTTTCGGTGGTTTATAGAAATATAGCAGTGAAATATAAAACTGATATTTCACTGTTTGAAACTGAAATTATCAATTTGATATTTTTCACTGTCTTTAAATTAAGCCAGTTACGTTGTTTTAGTGATATACCAGCGTGCACAGTACTGGAAACCAACTTAATGATGTGACGTCGTAAATGACTTCGCGTTGTATTATTATTTGTAGCGCTTTGTATTTAGTATAAAGTTAAAATGTCTTTTTTAACATTTCTTTGCATATTATAAAAAGAAAATTTGTTGAGTTTAGTGTAAGATCGAAATACATTTCGTCTCGTGAACACCAAAAGTTAATATTGCGCCACTCGTGAAATAAACCTTTAAGTGCTCACTCTGTGAAATATATTCTAATCTTACACTGAACTAAACATATAGCCTCTATATCTCGTTGTTGATTTTTGTCCTTAAATTGCATGGAAGAGGAATCGAATCCTATTTATTTCAATGAATTGACCGAGTGAGTTGCCAAAGTTGTTTCCCTTTTCATGACCTGTACACGATCAATAACCATTATCTTCCCCAGTCTCTGTATCACCAAAGTAATGAGTTTATTTCAAAGAGCCTTTAGTGTAATAATCAATTATTACTCTCCTAAGATATAGACCTGCGTGAATATAGAGGATATTGCATGAGTGTAGGTTTAATACTAAAGATATTGAACGAGTTGAATAAAATCATATTATTCTAGCCTCTGGCGAGCATAAAATTGTTTTATTCGACGAGTTCAATAAATTTATTATTGAATCTATAAAAATATATTATTTTATTTATCACATATATAAAATAAGACGGTAAACTGTGATCACGAGTCATTTTTCTTTGTCTCGCTATAGTGTAACGCTAACATTAGCGCGCTTTAACGCTATGTTTATAGCGCGCAAATGACGTGACGTCAAAATGTTATTACACTACAGTGTAATATCGTTTTTGTATAGATCGCAGATCAGGAAATACAATGCTGACATTCAATCTCTGGCAAAGAATTTCACGACAAACCTAACAACAAGTAGTTCTCAGAACAGCTTAAAACTAGCGATGTAAAAGAAAGAAATATTTTTATTTTTTTACAAGTATCCAACAAATTACAACGCATTCAAAGTTTAAAAGTAGCGCCGGCTTATAAAATTGTCAATGAATGCACAATCACAAATTACGCGGATGAATATCATTTTAATCAGTGAAAATGCACTTTTTAGCGATGTCGATTACCGAATACTACAGAGCGTAGTACACAAATAAATCCGACTGTCGAGTAGTGGAATATATACATGTCGGACAGTTTTGGCGAGAAAATGTTCGCTAAATTATTTACATCAGTGTTAAACAACAGGTTTATCGTGAACAAAATACCTCGAAATTAATAAGGATTACAAACCCGACATGAAAATTCTAAATTTAGAATTGTTTGATTTTATTTAGGCTTTTTACGTGTAACTGTTCCGTAGTGCAGAGGTAGCACGCTCGTTTAGGGTGTTGGAGCTCTGGGGCAACTATTTTTTTTTCTTTAAGTGTCTTTTTAAGGAAGTAGCCACGATATGCAAGGATAATGTGTGGCTGTCATAAAACAATGAACATAAATGATTTTTTGATACAACTCTAGTCATGCAAAATTCCGTATGTATCAAACTCAAACTGTTATAGTAAAAAATCTAAACGCAGTCGCTGCATCTCGGTGCCCTGTAAGACATGTAAGATGATTTATAGTAAATAAAAATAAACTTATACAGGAAAATACATACAGATGTACAGTACGATTTAGATTGCAAAGATCAGAGCTTGCAGCCCTTTGATTATTAATTAAATGGCTTTATTGGCGACGCCGGTGAGCGGCGTCGTCTCTTATGAAATGCTTTTTATTTTGGCCTATGGAAGGAGCTGTTATTATTAGCAGTTAATGTCATGCTGTGTTAATTATTACACTCCTGCGCCACGGTTTATGTGATGAAATTAGTCATGAAATTCACATGGGATACTGTTTCATCGAATACTATCTACTATGTGGTGTAACGTGGTAAAACAGGGTACAATGTACAATCTGACTACTAACTGAACTTTATCTTTTAAAAACAACAACATGAAATACATGTTAGCTATTTTTTCATTATCATTTTCCTAAATAACAATAATTTATAAGCCAACGAATCTTTTTGTGACAAATGATTTATATGTCAGATTGCTATGAAATAGCATTATAAACATTTATAACGTACCTATCAATTTTCACGAAATCCAAAAATTAAACAGTTGCAAAGAATGTTATGATTCAAATATATTTGTTATAATTATATAAAACTTTGTGATATGATTTATGAAGAAATGAACAAGAGCCGGTTGAACCGGGTGATGCTTCCCGACTAGGATTTGGACGCAGAAAATATATCTTTTGTAGTTTCAGAGTTATGTTCCAGACAAAGTTCAAAGTGTGATAATTCCATACTTAAGCAATGCAGAGTAACTGTTCTTTGCACTGCACTTCTACTCAATTAGATCTATCTACCGATATGCGCGCGACACGTCGTCTCAATATGGTGATCATTTCTGTGAAATAGTTGTAAAATCCGACTTCAAATAATAAAGTTATGGGCCGAACACGATTTTGCTGCAAGGTCATGCTGTGACCTTGACCTTCAAGGTAGCGACCCAAATGTTGCACGCGACACGTCGTCTCAATATGGTGATCATTACTGTGAAGTAGTTGTAAAATCCGACTTCAAATAACAAAGCTATGGGCCGGACACGAATTTAAGACGTACGGACGGACGGACAACCCGGGCGACTATATGCTTCCCCGAATTTTTTTCGGGTAGCATAACAATATGAAAAATAAATAATGTCCATTTACATACACTTACAAATATCTTAATCAATTCGGTGGATCGATTTTCGATTTGTATTGTAAGAATTGTTTTAAAACATCTCCCTAATTTTCAGTTTTGTGATAGAAATAAACCAAAAATCAAAACTGAGTGATATAAACCTTTACGATGCAAGTTTTCCGATTCAATCCAGATATAGAAATAGAAAACAAGCATTTCATTTGAAAGATACATACATTTATTTAAAAGATCAGCAGTATAGTATCTTAGTGCCTTATTGTGTTGGTGATAGTGACATTGACTGTGATAGTAGAAAACAAATCTCTACTCTACTCTATGTTCAATTTAAACAGATCTCATTAAAACTTGACCATGACAGAAATGAATAAGAACTGTTTAAAAATCATCACAGAATTTGAGCACATCCCCGACCCTTAACACAACCACAATATACCCGCAACAACAAAATTCGACCCGACCAAACCTTATCATTTAAGATTTTGTCCCTGCGTTCATCTGAAAATGTGCAAAAATTTGACGAATCACGTGTTTTAGTTTTGTTACAATATCAACTGTAAGTAAATCTCTATTATTTAATTTTAAATTACCTAAAAAAACAAAATGCATTAAAAAACAACAAATATATTAAACAGCTCAACAAGAAATAAAACTTCCCACGGCAGAGTTGTTTACATATACCTTTTACTGTCTTAGAATATATTTCATGCAAGAAACATATTATAACGTCCAAATGACACACAAATACATATGTAATTTCATATATCAGTCTGTTTATTTTGCAAGAATACTTTTCTCCACACCTTCTCTGCCGAGAAAGTTGATGAGGCTGATGAAGTTGTTCTTATTCATGTCACAGCTATATATCCCTTTTCCGGACAGGAAAGCCATGTCGCATATTCCTCCCAAAGCTTTCATATCCGCCCCAGTAAGAACACGGTCGCTAGCTTGGTTAGGCAATGCATGTACATCTTTGTGATGGAATACCAGCAACGCTATTTTGCTATTCACTGAAAAGAGATAAAACAAAAAATACATAATGAGCAATTTTAAAGAACATGCAATAGAATTTATAAAAAAAACATGGCCTGCTTTGTCTTATCCCCTTTCGCGTCATTGTGTGTTCTGGTTCTTCTGAGGGAGTTTATTTGCCGGGTTATTTTTGTTGTAGTTTGTTTACGTTTTAGATTTTTGTTTTGCTATAATTGTCATTCGTTAGAGAAAAGAAACTCACGTTTATAGAAGGTCAGATTATTTTACAAGAATTCGGTAAGAAAATGTCGGGAAAATTACTGAAAACCTTCAGCAGACTGATTAACCGACAAAGTTGCATATTATTTTTGTTATCCATCCTATAAACACTTATTTCATTTACAGAAACACTTATTTCAATACAGAAACAGAAAGAAAACACCATTTATTAATGTATCTTACGTGTCAATCCTTGTACGCAGTTTGCAACATCAGTACCAAGCCGAGATACTGTTATGCAAAGCAGCAGTACAGGTAATTCGGGCTGTATGTCTGAAGATTTAGAGCATTGAATGAACTCAAGTTTTAGCTTATCTGTCTCTAATCTTTTTTTAAGAAGTGCAGTTATGCCTTCCTCTACGCAGTCGGCAAGCTGTGTTCTGTTAGGACTGTACAGCTGCACTGAAATGTAAGTAACAAGACAAAGATTTGATGCTGTATTGATTTTAGTATTTTTATAGTGTATAATTTATGAAATATTACTTAGAATAACTCAGCCTACCAAAATATAATTTATACAATAAAGAAAGTAAAATTATAGAATAAAATTATTTAATTGTGAATCGCGGTGTAGGATCATGCGCTAATTTAACGAAATATAAAGATGTATTTCCGCAATTACCTTGCTTGTGATAATGATAAAATGTACAATCAAGACATCGTGCATTATTCATTTGTCTATTTTTCAGAAAAAGTATGAAACTAAAGTTTTGCTCAATAGTATTTTTGGTGATTTTAGTACCGATGATCAATTTCCTTGACATATCTCTTTATAACAGATAAAAGGAATAAAAAATTACATCCTACCGTTCAGTATTCCTTACCTTGCATTTTCTTCGTACTTTTGATTTCAGTAAGTTCTGCCTCTACTAAACACAGCACTTTTGAAACGTTTTCAATTTCCTCATGCTTTTCTTTTATCCGTTGTTCTAACCTTTTTATTGAGCCTTCTTTATCTCGAATATTATCCTCTGCCTTTGCTCGATATTCTTTTGACTCCCTAGACAGCTCACCATGTTTATAATGAAACTTTTGTATTTCTTCATGCAATTCTTTCTTTTCTTTCTCATATGTAGCTTTTAGGTCAAAAATGATAGAGTCTTTCTGTTGCACTACACCTTCGAGCTTTTCATTTGTTTCTTTTTTCATGTCTAGCTCATGCCGAAGCGTTTTTGCGTTCGTCTGTGACAATCTCAACTCTCTCTGTGCAGTTTCCAATGCTGTATTCAACTCATCTTCACAAATAGACATCCTTTCGATTTGATTCTCTCGGTCTTTTACAGTCTCGCTGAATTCCAGCTGGTTTTTATTCAGTGTTTCATGTAGCTCTTTTTTCTCCATTTCTAACCTCTCCGATTGGCTTTGATGCTTTTCCAACTTTGTTGTTAAATCGCCGTTCTCTTGCTCTAAATCACTTTTAATTTCCTGCATCGTTTTCAAATTATTTTTAAGATCTGATAGTTCTTGTCGTAGCTGTTGAATAGTTTCGTTATTTTCAGCGGCCTGTTGTTGCAGATCGCCATTCAATTTACATGACCTCTTTATTTCATTATTCAACTTGTCGCTTTCTTGTGTGCTATTGTTATATTTTGTAATAAGGCAATCTCTCTCCTTTTCTAACTCTTTAATTACACTACGATTTCTCTCTAAATCAGATTTCATTTCTTTTGCATTTGTCTCTAACCGTTTTACATTATCTTTACATAATTCAATAGTAGTTTGCATTTGCACTTTTTCTTTTTCAAAATTTAGTATTTGTTCGGTTGAATTTTTAATTTGCTCATTTTGTTCTTGGTTTTCATGTCTAACTGCTTTAATGCTTTCGTCTAACCCAGCTAAGGTATCGTTTAGTTTTGATATTTGGCATTCCAATGACTGTTTTTCTATTTTTAATGAATCTATCGTTTCTTCTAGTTTCAAAATGTCTGATTTTAAGTTTATAAGATTCTCTTCGTCCTTTCCATTTTGTATTTTACAGTTCTTTAAATCAGTCTCCAACAAACTGATGTTTTCAGTTTGTGTCTTAACTTCGAATTCTAAAGATTGTGTCTTTTTTTTAAAGTTCTCAATTTCTTCAAAGTGATTTTGAATATTTCTTTCCTTTTCGCTGTTTTCTCTTTCTAATTGTTGTATACTTTCAATATGTTTTGCGACTTGACTTTCCAAATTCTTAATATTAGTTTGATATAACGTTTCGTCTGATTTCCAACTGTCTTCTTTTTCTTTATGTTTCATTTGAAGAGCCTGCACATTTTCAAGATTCTTTTTTTCTTTGTCGTTCAATTCTGTTTGAATTGAAATGATTTCATCAGTTAGCGTATCTATTTCGTTTTCAAACTTTGATAATTGTTTTATTTCTTGTTTCAGAGATTCCTTTTCTTTATGCCATGTTTTCTCCAAGTTGTCCTTTACTTCTTTGTATTTTTGTAAATAACTTACTTGTTTGCTTAGCTCTTCGTTCTCGTTGAGAAGATGTCTGGTGTATCCTTCTTTTTGCTTACATCTTACTTTTGCACTATCGGTATCAACTTTTAAATAGCATAATGACGCTGTGTCAGAATTCGCACTCTTTTTGTCTGAATGTTCAAGAAAGTTGATGAACTTGCGCAAGGATTCAGCTGTTTTGTCTTTATCATAGAGAACTGTTCGCTGAAATATTTTGATCATAACAAAATAACTATTTAGCCGGATACTCAAAACTTTAATATGTGAATACATTAGTAGATAAACGGTCAAGAAAGGTTTATTGTCAAATCTCAAAATATGTAATGATCCGTTTATATATTTAATAACTTCTTCAAATCAGAAGCTAGTAGCCTAAAACCTAGATCCGAGTGTGTCATAAGGAATGGGCATATTAAAAATCAAAATAATATTCAAACACGCAAACATGAAGAAATGCGTACGGGCGTTATAAATATGCATGACTTGGTAGTATTTTTGTCAAATTTGCAACCATTTCGCTGCTTGAACCAAGTGTGCACCCACTTCACGTTCTGCCCCTTGTGTTTTAAGGGATAAATTGGTAGGTATACAATAAACGTGGATATTAGTTTCAAGTAGTTTCTTTTATGACAATAAATCACTTTAAAGCTCACCTCTAGCTTCATGATATGCTCCTTTGCTTTTCGTTTTATGCATTGTAAGTTCTGCAAAACTTCTTTTTCTGTAGCCTCTTCATTAAAGTACATGAATGGGACAATTAAAAAATCTATCAAAATGTTGTGTTGACAGTAAATAAAATCAATTTCATTTAATTATATACCCTATATATCCATGTTTCTACTGAAACATATCCTAAACCTAACTATGGCATATTCTTTACAATCAAAATCATATATGTCCCTTACATATAGATATGTTATTCTATGCTCAAGATGTTAATGAAGTTGAATTTTAATACTCCATTATGCAATAATGATTTTACTTTTATTATGATATCAAACGATAAAAAATCTCCTATAACTCTGTAGAGACTGACAATGTGCTTTTTTTATTTTTTTTTTTAAATATGTTTTTTATTTATGAATGTTGTATATACTATATTGCATTGATTAGACTATAATAAAGAATAAAATGAATATTATGACAATTTTGTAACAGGCCAATTATCCCGCAGAAAGACTTTAATTTTATAATTGTTAAAGAATTATGCCCTATAAATGCTTTAATTTTTACTTCTCATAAGCTTTTTATTTTTGGTGTACTTTAATTGTTTACAAAACGTAACAGATTGGCAATTATCTGAACCATATTTTTCTTCTGCTAAATTTAGACAATAAGTACAGTTATATAGTGATTTATTATATTGTGTGGAAGTCAAAATTGTACTTTGTTTACATGTTGCTACATTTACGACAAATAATTTCACATTTAGCGCTACTTTCTTTAATCTTGAATTCTCTAAAAGCAATATTTAAACGTAATAAAACCAATGCTTGCCTTTTCTAAAGAGGAATAAATATCAATAATCAATATGCTTCTGTTGCTTTCTGAGAATGAGTACACTTGCAGTGTTGTTATTGTTTTATGGGTTTTTTTTAATTTTTATGAAATCAAAATACTAATTTGTTTACATTTTGCTACTTTAATGATAAATTGTTTCACATTTAGTGCTACTTTTTTAGATAACAAGCATCTAATAATCTCTAAAACCATAATTTAAACGTTACAAAATCCATGTTTGTTTTCTTTGTTGAGAAGAAAGAAAAAATAGATTCGTGTCTGAGGCATAATATGATTTGAATATCCCATTTGTCATGATTCAAGATTTCATCAACATTAACATATTTTGTTGACAAACTTGCATTATCATCCGTTGTAGTTAAAACATGAAAAATAACATGATTTATCACACACCCGTGCCGATTTTGCGACTCCGTAAAAATGGTATTGCACGGTCGTGCATATATTTTGACGTGACGTCATAAGCGTTATACAAACATAGTGGAAAGACGCGCTGAATGTTAGCGTTATACTATAGGCGCGTCAATGAAAATGACTCTTATTTCACTTTAAACGGTCTTTATTTTGGGTATATGATAAATAGAATATTAAATTCGTGTAAGTTCATTACTGAATTTATTGCACTCGTTGAATAAAAAAATATTATGCTCGCCAGAGGCTCGCATAATATAATTTTATTCAACTCGTGCAATAAATTCAGTATTAAACTTACACTCATTCAATATCCTCTATAAATTAATTTTTGGCCTTTGTACTTCTATACTGACTTAATCATATAATTATATCATTTATTTCATATAATTTATGTAAAAAATATCTATGCTCTTTATAGTATTATATAGTAACTGTGATATCAAGGCTGACAACTTATTTTTGAAATTGAATGCTAAGCTTAAAATATGACATAACCAAATTTTACAGTTCTTTACAAAGGTTTCGATATTATTATAATAATGTAAATTTTCAAAACGTTAAATTAAAACGGTACCGTTCAGACAATCGTTCTCTTCTTGTAGTTCAAGCATCTCTGTTGCTTCATGCATCCGATCGATGCTTTCCATTAACAATGAGGCAGATTCGCCTACGGGTTTAAAGAGTACCTGTAAGTTGACAATTTAAAATTAAAGTAATCAAATTAAACTCCCTATACATGCATAGTAAAAATAAACTACTTAAAGTTTATTTATGCTTAGTTTAGTTTTACTTAAGAAATAATACTCAATATACAATAATATACATGTATAATATATTGTTTCTTTAAACATGAAAATTGTTAACTATAAGGCGACCTCATATATATGGACACCACTAGATTATTTCTTGATGGCACGATTTTTTACTTACATATTCATCATGTTTTCCATCATGTTATTAAGTCATTAAAAATGTAAACTAATTAACAGTCTATAAATATTCAAATCCTAATTTATAGTCGATTTCTGGCTAATAATACTAAAAATAATAATATCAATATAAAATCGTCAACGATGCTTACGAGACATTCGTCAATAAATTTGTCTATTTTCGCCTCTTCTGAATCTCCCGTCTTCAAATTATCACCACAATCGTCCATTTCGACAGGTTTGTGGGAAGGAATATATCACTGCAATGTCCATTTATTCACACAAGACAGTATATCGTATAGCTCAATGTCAAACATAAAAGTATATCCTTGAACTCGTTGTTCTACTTTCTGTTTCATTTTATCTGAGTTTTTCCATTGAGAAAAAAAAACTAGATAAATTAATGCAAAATGAAAGTTAAAATTTAAGAAAATCAGTTATGAAACTTAACCAACTGTACTAGTTATTATAAATCAAATTCTATCATTCAACTTCCCCTTTCTTAATCTCTATGTCCACAGTTGAATTGAAATCAAAATCAGAAACAGTTTAATTGAAATCGAAAGTAGAATCATAAATGTAACATTGGTAATCGTTTTCGTAACTTGCCATAAATTTACATGACAACGTATTTATACGAAAAAGCCATCGAATATTAACCTTCACATTCTAGATCTTTTAACCATATGTTTAAAAGTAACGTATTGAAAGTACTTACCTGGTCAACTGTACGCCTTCGTTTAGTTGTCACATGACCCAAATGACTGAATTAAAATTTAGTCGAGGTCATTCAAATTGGAAAACCACATTTTAAATCGAAAGTAGATATAAAGGGTGTTTAAATTTTCGGTTTCTTTATATCGTATTTAATCAACTGTAACAATTGCGACTTGAAATATCTATCGGAACGACTTTAAATATCTGTACGAAGTATACAAGCAATTGGTTGTTGTTCAGCGAGCGTATTATCACGGGGGAGGAACTGTTACACGAAGTATACAAGCAATTGGTTGTTGTTCAGCGAGCGTATTATCACGGGGGAGGAACTGTTACACGAAGGATGGAGTTCGTATGATAACTTGTCCTAACTGCCACGAAGTTCGTCGGAAAACTTTGTGTATACTACAAAAACACTCGTCAAAATGATGATTTTCATCTTTAAAAAGTGAAAAGCTATCTTAAACTTTAATGATTAAGCTTGTCTGTATTATGTGTCAAAAACTAATTCATAGTCCATTTTTCATCGACTCTTGCTTAAGGTGATTTCGCTTTGTCAGCCATGTTTGTTTTCACAAAGTCTGTCCAAAGTGAAAGTAGGCCAAAATTCATATAACAACAAAGCTCACATTGTTATATGATGAGCCATTTGCAAGTACACTTCCAGTTATATGTTTTAAAGACTATTTTAAACAAAAATAAAAATGACAATAAGAAATTTTACCTTGAATGGGCTAAATTTCTGAAGACCAAAAACATTCTGTTGCAAAGTTTTATGCACATTTCATGAATGGCAAAACCCTTTTTAAAGTCTGTTTTAGTGCTTACAAAAGCCATTTTTGCAGAAAATAAAAAAAAAACTTTAAAAAAATAAGTCTTAGGAAAGTAGTTTATCTGACCTTGAAAAAACATGGCCACCATGACATGTGTAAAAAGTAGTGCCATGAAAATAAACATCATTTACCTATTTCTTGTGACAAACAGACACACTTCACTGTTACACAAAAAAAAGGTTAGATTTTAAAGTTTGATTGTGTTTTCATTTTAATTGTAGTTCATAAGGCTATAAATGATGATTGTTTTCTTGCACTTCGTTTTACAAGGAATAATGGAGGCCATGTGCTTAGAAGGACATGAGATACGGATTTATTTGGAGTTAAGTTTTGAAAGATTTTTGTATTTGCTGCAAAAAAATAGCTTTTGTAGGCACTAAAACAGACTTTTAAAAAGGATCTTTTTGCCATACATGAAATGTAGCCATTAAAACTTTTGCAAAAATCATGAATGTTTTGATCTTTCAGAAATGTAGCACATTCAAACGGGTAAATATTCTTATTTGTTATCATTTTTATTTTTGTTTATAATTGTCCTTAAAATATTAAAACCTGGAAGCAGTACTATTCAAATGCGTTCATCATTTTACAATAAGAGCTTTGTTGTTATATGAATTTTGGCCTACTTTCACTTTGGACACGACTTTAGTGAAAAACAAACAGGCTGCAAAGCGGTTTTTATCACCTTAAAATCTGTTAGTTTTTGAGTAAATTTTCAAAAAATTAAATTCGCCAGTTCGCAAAGATACTTGGACCTTTTTTTTCTGGTCTTTTTCATTTCTGCCCTTTCTTTTCCTTAAAAATTTTTAAAACCCTTTTTTTAAAAAAAATTTTGCCAAAAACATAAACCCCGGGGTTTTTCAAAAAATTTTCCAAAAAAACCCGAAAAAGGGGTTTTTTTTCCCCAAAAAAGGTTCCCCCGGGGTTCTTTGTCAATTTTAAATTTGAAAAATGGGCCATAGAAGTTCTAAAAAGATGTAATTTTTTTTACTGGGGCCCGTGTGTTTTTCCCTTGGCCCCTAAATTTAAAGGCAGCATTTTAGCGGTTTTGGTTTTTTAATGCATTCATGTTTTTAATAAGATTATTATTTCTCACAGGGTGTTTAAACAAGAGGGCCCGCTTGTTGTTTTATCTTTAACTAAAGATGCACCGCATTTATCCACAGAGATAAGACGTTTTGATCTAATACTATCCCTCCCCACTCCCTCCAGTCCCTGTTACAAACCTCAAAAATAAAGTTTTAGGTATAATGAAAATTGTGTGTTTATAGTGTGTTTTTATTTTATTGAAGTTTCATGAATACTTAATGTGGACAAATTGACTTTAAATTATTTTTTTTATTTTTTTTTTTTTTGGGGTGGGGGGGGTATTAGGGACTGGGGGACTGGGGAGGGGTAGCGGTAGGGGATACTATCAAAGCGTCTTATCCCTGTGTATTTATCTGTTTATATAAATCGTATCTTTATCTGAAAATATTGCAGATTTTGATGTAGAATAGATCTTCAAAAAAGTATATTTTATACCCTTATTTATATTTAATTGTATTTCCTTGTTATAAAAATTCTTAAATATTTTGATGACCACATGGATAGACCCGTCCTTATTACATTATTAAGGCAATTACGCGTTTTTTTTCTTTCTCTGGTTGGAGAAGACCTCAGCTGCAAATCCGTGCACTGTTTTAGGCACCAGCAGGCATTATATTCGAACAACCAACCTTCCGCACCCTAGCTTGATAATGTCCTCACATGAAATAATCCGTAGTCCCTGGTAGGATTCGAAACCAGTAGTTAGGGGTAAGCACTTCGACATTAGCGATCTCAACTATTTGCCACGAAAGTCCCTTTAACCATACCGTGCGAGAAAATATTGTATAGGCTCATAGCCCGAAAAGGTCTCGAACCTAAGATAGGTTGGGCCTATTTTTACCATTAATAAATATCATATAAAAATTTCATTACAAGTATATATTGTTATATACAACGTTATCCCGCTCATACCTCTCAATCTCAGAGAACCATGAAATAAATTATTTTGATGAGAATGTAAACCATGTCTACCGATTTCAATATGTCAATTTTAGAGAGTGGCGGCATGGCCGAGTTCTAGAAATTTTAGAATTGATGGCCGCATGGTTCACCATGTCATGGACAAAACCATTATTGATCCTTGAGCAAGATACTTTATAACTTTTACTCAGACTTGGTTTTATTCGCGGAACAGTTTCGAGAAGTGGCATGTCTTTAAGCTTACAGCTTCGTCCACAATATAATTAATATATATTATGTATAATGTAAACACTTTCCTTTATAATACAAAGGCTGCTTGTCAAAAGAAGGAGTGTTTCATGAATCAAGTCTATAAGGACCTTGATTCTATAACGATGAATCTAGAACGGATTTTAAAAACTAAGTATAAAGATCATCAAAGTCTTTATTCAGGCTCATATCTGGAAGCACACGGTTGCTCATCCATTGGGTCGTCTACAAATGCTCAGGTAGACATTGTCAGTCAAATGAGAAAAACGGTTGAAAACTCATATCAGTCAGTGATAAAGATTGTCCAGATATATGAAGATGAATTAAGAAACGTGAAAGAAGTCATAGTTGAACTGAGTACAAACAATAAAGAAAGAGGTTTAGATAAATTGGACACTACTGACAAAGGCATTGGCAATGAGCAAATTCAAAATGAAGTTACTGTCGAATCGATAAGAGTGACTGCAGGAGGCCAAGATAAATTTGGAGCAAAAAGAGATGGATATGCTACAAAAACAAGTTGAAGAGCTTAGGAGCCAAAATGAAGACCGTGAAATCACAATTGCAAGGTTGAAAAAAGAGAGGTTAGAAAAGGAAAATATTTCAAAAGTAATTGCAGCAAATCAGATTGATGCAGAAGGAATTAGAAAACGATAAAATGATTCTACAGAAGAAAAATGAAATGAAGAGATTAACCTTGAATTTGAAAGACTTTAAAAAAAAAATGGCTTATAAAGGTAAATAAAATTCATATTTATTGTTAAGGTCATATTTTCCATTTTTAGAAATAGCAAACTTGAGATAAATATAATCTAAATAATGGTTTTAGAGCAAGTTACATGCTTATCACCTGAAGAAAAAAGTGCTGAATCTGAAATTATTATCATCAAAGTAGAAATATGTAAACAAAGCAGTATTTTGACTTGCACTTACAAATACTAAATAACTTAAACTGTAGCAACATAGGCAAATAGTAGTTAAGGTAAATGGCCAATGAGTAAAAATAAAAATGTTTTTTATTAATTTTCAGGTAACCTTACTTCGTGTAAATTTAAGATAAGTATAAAAGTACATACTATGTTTGTCACGTTATGGTTGAATTTAGTTCTTTTATTTGGATTGGATAGATAGGGATACAATTGCAATGATTATCTAAATATATTGGGTAATGGCATGCTATTATTTTAATGCTAAATGTATAACCTTTCAAGAAGTTCACCTTTATCGTGAAATTACATTGGTATCCGTATGAAATGTTTACATCGGAAATGCGCGGTAGTTTTAAGGCGGCATTTTTTCAAAATGTCAACTGTTTTATGTGATCCTCCTTATCGTGATGTTTTCACAGTGTCTGGTAGACTAGCTGACTTAGATGAAAATGACAAACTGTCGTTGCTTTCAAAACCTTGGACTGATGCTCATAAATATAAGTTCCCGTCCAGCTCAGTTGTCTTTATGTGAAATCTGGTAGAATACAAATTTATAAATCTAGTAGAAAATGGAAAAAATGAAGTACAATGTAATTAACATGTATTAGGGCCTATATTACAACTATTAGGATTAAACTGAATATCAGAATTCTTAAATAAAAAAAAACAAAAACAAAAAAATGTGACCCGCACGCAATAAAACGCTGTTAGTCGATTTCCAAAGTATACTTCGAGCAAAAGAAAGCGCATCACAACAAACAAGTGTGCTTTAATTTTGATATGTCTATATATACGAAAGTGCGCATTTGTTCTATCTTTTTTCTATTTGGTTAAACGTGATTTTTGGTTATACGTGAAGAAAGTTAAAGCTTGTAATATATATTTTCCCCCCGTTTGTTTTAGATTTATCGGTGGTAAATTACGACGTTTCAACGAGAACTGGTTGAAATCTCATCAT